CCGGCATTGCCCACCCAAACCACAACCAACCAAAACCAAAACAACAAAACGCAAACATAACGCTAACACAATTACAAATACAAACGAAAACAAAAACCTAACAACAAACCCAACCACAACCACAAACACCAATACAAACACAAAGAAAAAACAAACAAAAAAGCAAACGAAAACAAAAACCTTACAACAAACCCAACCACAACCATAAACACCAATACCAACACAAAAAAAACCAACGAAAAAGCAAACGAAAACAAACCAAATCCAAACGCAAAACCAACCAAAAACACAAATACAAACCCAAAGAAAAAAACACAAACAAAAACGAAAAAAGAAAGAACAAAAACGAACCAAATCAAACCGCAACCACTAACGCAAACCCAACGGAATCGCCTGTTTTAGCTTAATAAACGACTATAGTACACCAACTTATTCATAGTCTTTTGCACTCACTTAAACGAACGCGCCTGTTTCAATTTAATGAACAATTATAACACTCCAAGCTTATCCGTAAAATACCTACAACATTTGCACTTGATCAATCCCCGCTAATTATGTAATTATTTTTTTTCCCAACACCAAAACAAAGTAATAAAAAGTAAATTCTTTTCCACTAAATGCAATGGTTTTATAAAGGGAAGTAATTGTGTTTTCCTAATTTATCAAAGGGAAGTAAGTGCTATAGGACTAAATAAAGACATAATTAGAATTGTTGTAAAAGATGATATTTTTTTAAAACTTGTGTTTAATAAGCATGCCGAAAATTATTACTTTCAGTTTGATAAATGAAAATTATTTCCCAAAACTTTCAATATTAATTTTTTAACTCATAAATGTAGACCGTAAGGACTTAAATTATCTAACACTTAAATCCATCGAAGACCAACGACAAACATATGTATTACATACAGAACTGAGCTTTATATATTACTAGCCGTCCCGGCCAGGCCCTGCTCTGGCTTCTGTGAAAAACCTTTCTGTTAAAGACCATTACCTGTGTGTTTAGTAATCATCATAAACCCGGCATTGCCCACCCAAACCACAACCAACCAAAACAACAAAACGCAAACATAACGCTAACACAATTACAAATACAAACGAAAACAAAAACCTAACAACAAACCCAACCACAACCACAAACACCAATACAAACACAAAGAAAAAACAAACAAAAAAGCAAACGAAAACAAAAACCTAACAACAAACCCAACCACAAACACCAATACAAAAAAAAAAACAACGAAAAAGCAAACGAAAACAAACCAAATCCAAACGCAAAACCAACCAAAAACACAAATACAAACCCAAACAAAAAAACAAACAAAAACGAAAAAAGAAAGAACAAAAACGAACCAAATCAAAACGCAACCACTAACGCAAACCCACCTAAACACAAAGAAAACACTAACGCGAACATAAACGCCCGGGGCGGAATCACCTGTTTCAGCTTAATGAACGACTATAGTACCCCAACTTATTCATAGTCTTTTGCACTCACTTAAACGAAAGCGCCTGTTTAATTTAATGAACAATTTTAATACTCCAAGCTTATCCGTAAAATACCTACAACATTTGCACTTGATCAATCCCCGCTAATTATGTAATTATTTTTTTTCCCAACACCAAAACAAAGTAATAAAAAGTAAATTATTTTCCACTAATGCAATGGTTTTATAAAGGGAAGTAATTGTGTTTTCCTAATTTATCAAAGGGAAGTAAGTGCTATAGGACTAAATAAAGACATAATTAGAATTTTTGTAAAAGATGATATTTTTTTTAAAACTTGTGTTTAATGAACATGCCGACAATTATTACTATAATTTGAAAAATGAAAATTATTTCCCAACACTTTCAATAGTAATTTTTTAACTCATAAATTTAGACAAATGCGCACGATAATTGTCTAACACTTAAATCCATCCAAGACCAACGACAAACATATGCGTTACATACAGAACTGAGCTTTATATATTAGATTCATCGGCAATGCTGGTAACATCAAGGAAAGTAGAGAATGGGTGACAATGCAGATTCTTCTTCTTTCAGCTCGGGGAAAATAACGCCGCAGTTCGTTGTCAAGAGATTCAAGATGCACAGAATCCTTTAAAAAATGTATCTATCACACCACACTGCAGAGTTTCTCAAACATGGCAGTATTTCAAATATTTATTTTTCCTTGCCAATTTTGCAGCTTTGATAAAAATGCCAAGAGATGATATTCGTTCCTTTATCAGGTTAAGCTTATGTTGATGTTCGAATATATCTGCTAGAAATGATGCTCTCTCCAACCAATTTTGCAGCTTTGATAAAAATGCCAAGAGATGATATTCGTTCCTTTATCAGGTTAAGCTTATGTTGATGTTCGAATATATCTGCTAGAAATGATGCTCTCTCCAACCACACCATGTCGTTAAAGTATACCAAAAGGTCTTGTTTCCTCGCACTTCCAAGAACATCTTGCTTTCATCTTTCAATTCAAAAACACGATTGACATTTCCTGTTGACAGCCAGCTTACTGAAGTGTAGAACCTCGTGATCTTTATTCATGTCTTTGCACAGTTCTTGAAACAGACAGGTGTTTAGGGCTCCAGATTTAATATGATTTACGACTTTTATTAGAAATGGAGTCGGATAAGTCTTGCTGGCGAGGGCATATGTGAATCATGCAGTGGATTCCCTTTCATTAGTGAGCTAGATCTTTTACCTTTTACTTTTTTCTGAAACCCCCATTTTGACCCAAACATGACGCACCATCCGTACAAGCCCCACAGCCGTTTTCCCATTTTAATCCTTCAGTTTCAAAAAAAGTATTTATTTCCTTCATGATATCTTCACAAAACATCAACTCTTATTTGCTAACATCTGAATGAATATATTTCACAAAGCAGTGGCGGAACTAGAAAAAAAAGGCTCCCCCGCAAAGAAAAGATTAGGGCCCCCTATATATATATATATATACATATACATATATATATATATATATATATATATATATATATATATATATATATATATATATATATATATATATATATATATATATATATATATATATTTATAAATATATCCTAACTGAGTAATTTAGTCTACTTCATTGCAATAAATAACCATTCTGAGAGAACAAACCAGAAAAAATTTAGTCCAAACTTATCGCCGTCTGAGTTGAATTAATTTAAATGCTGGTCAAAAATCTATAAAGACGTTAGCTTGATTCGTGAATGGTTTCTCGCGTTATGTTTATTTTTTTTCATTTTTGGCTTTTATAATATCAATTTTGAAAACATTGATTTTATATCTATACTATTGTATAGTACGTCTTATTTAAGTAGCAATTCAGAGAATCAATTTCTTTTTAATATACATAGTACAAAACTATTTAAATGAGCTTCGTGGGCATCCCTATTTTAAAGAAGGGCAGTAAGTCATGGAAGTAGTGTGAATGTTTACCTACCTTTCAAACTATAGCTCTTGTAGATTTTAAAATATTTTTCTACGCAACAATCTCTGCTATAGTAGATCTGTTGTTGTTTTTTTTTTTTTTACAAAACCACTTTCAAGATGCATGAAAAACATAATTTTTGAAAACAAAATTCATTGTTTTTTGGTCGGAACTGGGCCCCTAAACGTCCTGGGCCCCCCCGCATTGCGGGGTCTGGCGGTATGGTAGTTCCGCCCCTGTCACAAAGACAAGCAACTGCGAACACGAACTCACGTCTGTCGATTCGTGAACTTGAAAATCAAACAATGGTGAAAGCTTGATTTCATTCTAAATTTGTCTTTTAACATAAGCCGCTGCATAGTATTATTAGACAGAGATATTTGTTGCATGTTTACTGCACTGGAGTCCCCAAGAATTAATTTTACCATCTTCAGCATACATGGTTTAATGAGATTTTCTCCTTTGTGTGAGAGGTTTTTTGCTTGGCAATTTCTAATACTACTTCATATGATGCTTGCACTAATGCTGTGTTTTCTTGATAAAAACCTTCTGTTTGATCAAGCCTCTGACGTTTGCAACTAGCTTCATGCCGACTAAAGAACTAGGCCTACATATCTTTTTTAGTGTGTTCTGAATGACTGGTCTCAAATTGACGTTTGGAAGTTTTCATAGAATCCTGACTAAGAACAACTTTGCACATTTCCAGTGATGTTAGTAATGCCGAATTTCAAATATTTTTCTAAATATTTATGTTTTTTATTGATTGCTAGAGTTTAGTCTACCAGTTGGCGACACCCAGAAAGCCCTTCACGACCCTTAGAGGCGTAGCGACCCTTCCAGGCGCCCGGGGACAAACTTTTCGATTTGCACCCCCTCGAGATTTCGATTTGCATCCCCCCCCCAAACTTTCAATTTGCACCCCCCTCAACCTTTCAATTTATTTTTCCAACCCATTTTGGCGCCCCATAAGGTCGGCGCCCGGGTACATATGTCCCACCCGCCCCCCCCCCCCTCGCTACGCTACTGCGCGACCCCCAGGTTGGGAACCCATGATCTAGAAAGAGTGGCAAAGAGACAGAGAAACAGAAAGACAGACAAAGGAAGCAAGTTAAATAAAATCTTGTAAAAACGTTTTAATAACAGGCTTTTTATATAATCATGCACTAAAAAGCAGAAAGTAAATGACTTTCTTTAAATATAATAATGTACTACTTACTATTTATGTATCTAAAAAGAAAAACATGGGTCGCTTCTTAAATTCTATTAAAAGTATTTAATACATAATTAAGCGACACACGCTTTTTAATTTTGGTTTTGTAAATAGTAGTTTATAATTATATTTTAAGGAGATTATTTACTTTCTACTTTTAGTGCATAACTTTATAAAAGCTAGTTATTAAAACGGTTTTTAAAATTGCTTTTTAATGAGTTATTTTAGATTTTAAAAAATAGCTACACGTGTCACCAAAAAACAAAACATTGCATGTGATGGTGCAAAGTGGTGCGACCAAAGTTTTAACAATAAAGAACGAAGCAGAAAAGAGAATTTAAAAAGTCGGATAATCCATGTTGACAGATCAAGCTTTCAATACACAATTTAGCCATAATTACTGAAGAAACTCACAAAAATGTAAGAAATTAACATATACTTTTATTGTTATATTTAGAATATAGTGTACATTTATTTTCACTTATAATAGTGTAAAAACAGAATGTAATCAACAATAATATCTATAGACTAAAGTGATTCCGATTACATTGCCTTACTCAACATTAAATATTGAATCAACATTGTTTTTTCTTTCTTACCTTTTCATGTCTAAATTCCGTCATTATGGCAGATACTAGAATTTTTATTTTTCAAGATCTCTACGTTTGTAGGCTATATTTATAAAATGGGTAAGAAAAAATTACCTAGAAAAAAATATTTTAAAATTAATTAATAAAAAATGTAAACATAATCCTTTGTATTATTTGTAATGTCCTTTCTAATTACTTTCGTACAAATTGGATGTATTTTTCTTAAATCAGCTTTTATGCGAAGATTAACAATATTTGCAAATGGTTTTAGGATCTGTAAACACAGGGGCTTTGGCTAAAGGTAGGCCTATGCCTACTTGTCCATTGATGTTTGTCAACAGCGAGAGTTTGTCGGTAGTTGGCCTTAGACCATAGGAGCTTTGTCCATAGTTGACAGTGTTTCTTCCAGACTTTTTTCTCCGGGGGGTGGTGGTAGACTTTCTTCGGGGGGGGGGGGGGGGGGGGGGCGGACACTGTTAAAAGTATATATTTTCTATATAAATTATATAAATTTCCTTTCGTTGATAAGGATTTTCAGTCTCATTTCCTTTTAAAACGTGAATCAAATAGGATCATATAGCAGGTTAAGATAAAACAGAAAAGGAACAAATAAAAAAAAATTGCACTTGACGGTGAAAAAAACAAAAAAAAAAAAAACAAACAACTAACCCACCCCCAAAAGAACAATATAAAATAAACCGGGAGCGATCTCCCCAAAACTTTCTCGAATATTCTTATATAACTTGGAATATAGACATGATTTTTAATTACTTAAACTTTTAAAAATATAATAGAATCTCATAGAAAAAAGAATTGCGCACCAAGCGAACGCCAAAACAAAATGTGCATAATAGTGCGCAATATTATTAGTACTTTATAAATTTACATGCGTTTTTTTTTTTGAGAAATAGGAAATAGCGTAAATTAGTACTTCCGGTCAACGGAAATTACTCAAAATTTGATAGAAGGTAGAGAAGTAGATCTTTTACTTACACGTGAAATTTCATTTATCTATCCTAAATAGTACTCAAGTTATAGGCTTTTGAAAAATTCAAAGTAGGAAAAGTACCACTTCCGGTTATCGGAAATCGCTCAAAAGTTGATACGGACCTACGATTTTGATAAAATACTTATATATGAAATTTCATCAACCTAGCTGTAACGGACTCAAGTTATCGTGTTTACACACAGAGACACACACACACACAGACAGACAGACACACAGACATACGGACAAGATTGCAAAATTATGTTTTTCCGTATCAGTGAGGTGTAAAACGTCGAGATTTGTAAAAATCTCGTTTTTTTTTTTGCACGATTACAAGACTTTCTCTATACTTCATATATACGAGAAAGTAAAAACAAACAAATAAAAAACAAAACAGCCGTAGGTTAGATTAAGCAACTATTTAAGGCAGGGGTCTCCAAACTTTTCAGTCCGAGGGCCGCATTAACTATCAAATTTCAGTTCGGGGGCCAGTTTCTTCCAGGCATGTCTTTGATTTTTCTGGGCAAAGTTCCTCACCCATCCCCAACAAACGTTTTTTTTTCCGTGGACAAAAAGATCTCCGCGTGCCGGATAAGAGGACCTCGCGGGCCGCATCCGGACCGCGTGCCGTAGTTTGGAGACCCCTGATTTAAGGTATCAAAGGTATTAAAGATGGAAACCTAGTGTCAGAAATTATCGTTGTCAGGTACTATGGATATAAAAAGAAAATAGATATACGTTGTATATAATTGCGAACAGTCTTTTAACAATAAACTGTGCACGGTGTTTAATTAGGTTCATATTTTAAAGAAGTTAAACACATAACATTTACTGATTTCTCCCCAGAGTTGGCATTGCGCTGCATGTCAAAGACCGCTGAGTTATAATGAATATAAATGGAAATATAATCTTCTTTATTTCTCTCCACATCAACTTGTACCATTCGACCAATTCATTTCTGCAATCAAAATTCAAAACGTTTTCTATTTTAAGTCCGGATATGTTCCAAGTCCGTTCTAAAAGAGACAGAAATAGCAACGGAAAATTTTTAAAAATTGTTACGTTTTCCGGCCTGGGTCGGTCTTTTGCCCTGCATTTGACACCTGGCTCACCTGTTCTACATCCACAATTCTCTGTCAGTCTGGAAGATTCCGAAGGCGTGCAAACCCCCCACCCTGTGGACAAAAATAATTTTTACCACGGATTTCTTCACCCTGACCCAGAGGCGGTCGTAGACGCAGTTTTTGCTGACGGTATTTGGATTGCTCGGATATTCACTAATGAAATAACCTACAGTATTGAGCCGCTAGGCTTTCATGAACCTAAGGCAAATTCCCAGTTAGTGGTTTTGTTTAGCAATCTCGATCTACGAGAGGATATGAATACAACCAAGGGGGACTCCATGCATCCATTTTGTCGTGATTTTTTCTTCCCGACCCAACACAGCTCAAACAATTCCAGACTTTCAGAAAAACTGAAACGAGATTTCTTGTCAAAAAATACCAGAATTGCCCGAGAATCTCAGAAGAAGCAACTATCAAGGATTAAAAAATCCGACTCTGAGAAACCGTTGGCATGCGAGATACTAGTTATCGTAGACTACCTGGCATTTCGTGGTATTGGAGAAAAGAACGTTCCACGATCTATAGGTATCATGGTCTCTGTATACCAAATCGCAAACCGGATCTTCAATACTACAGTCTTTATAGATCTCCCAAGATTAACTTTATCGGTGCGCAAGTTTCTCATCCATACAAACTTTACCATCTCAAGTACCCAGCACTATAATCAACCAAATATTGAGCTGAATAAGGAAAAGTTGATATACGCCATGTCGTTTCAAAATATTTTTATTGAATACTGCATTGGGCATCTAACGACGCAAAGGTTCTTAGACGGCCTGCTAGGTTTAGCCTCACAAGCTGAAAACCTCACGTATGACTGGTGTAATGGGATCTGTTCAGGGAGTGCTGGCGACTCAAGAAATATTGGATACAGCACCCTTGTAGGCTACGGTGGGATTCTGCTTACTCTAAATGTAAGTAAACTTTTGAGTAACATGTTACAAACAATCACGGCCCCAAAACAAACCAATGGACATGTATATATATATATATATATATATATATATATATATATATATATATATATATATATATATATATATATATATATATATATATATATATGTATATCTATCTATCTATATATATATATATATGTACATTTTATATTCACTTTTATATTCACTGGGAATGATGATCGACCCTCAATTAAATTAACATAAGAATAGTGTTTAGGATTCTTAGGTAGTTCAAGGGTAACTATCTGAATGTTAGCAAGAAGTATTCACCTCTTCCTTAACTGGGCTGGGGGATTGATCAAAACCACCAGTGGGAAATGTCGGGTTGGGAGAAAATTTAGGGTACAATGAATGATTATATACATCAAGTCAAATGAACTTAGCATTTTACGGTAATTTAATGTTATTATTTAAAAAAAACTCGATGAAAACCGAGGACGTTGGAACATTCTATTAAATGCTATTAATATTAAGTTTAACATAATTAAAATCTACATACTCTATACTAAATATTTTTAAGTGAATTGTAAAAATTACCATGCGTATATAAAATACACAGATTACATTATATTTAATTAATCCTAAGTTAATTTGCACTTTCTGAATATATAATTCATAAAAGTATGAACAAATTCCATGCAAATATATATTTGTGTCTTTTTTCCTGTGACTTTTTTCCTGTGACCTTTTTCCTGTGACTTATTTCCCTACAATAAGTAGGGGTAGGGGTTGGGGAAAGGAGGGTGGTGGAGGGGGGGGGGGGGTTCTCGTCGTGAACGAGCTAATGATAGTGTTTTAAAGCAAATATTTTCAGTGGCAGCATCTACTGAAAAGTAGAAAATAAAACAACTGCGTTGGTTACAAAACTATTTGTTTACAACAAGTGTCATGTCTTGTTAACAAGTCAAATTCTATTTTCGTCAAATCAGCTACGTCACAACAACCTGTTTATATCACAGTTACATAATAGCTCGGTTTAGTTTGGCCTTGACCTTGTCCGTAAAAAAAATACGCTGATTGTGTAACAACACTAGTCACACACACATACACACACACACACACACACACACACATATATATATATATATATATATATATATATATATATATATATATATATATATATATATATATATATATATATATATATATATATATATATTACGGTCAAAGCCCGAAGTCGGCCAATGCTAGGATTGGCCGGCCAATCCGCGCATTGGCCAATATCGCCTCCCATAGGTCGGTCAAAGTCCGAAACTTTGCTTGATTTCGGCCTTTGGCCGGCCAATCCGCAGACTGGCCATGGTGGACCGACCAAAGTCTGAATAGCTCTTGAATTAGAAGATCATGAGCAGATTTTGGTTTTTCTTTATGCCATAAGGATCATGAAATTAAGTCAATGACAGAAACATTCAAATTTTTTATTGTACTATAGTCTCAATCTATCAATATCATCATTTGTTACAACAAGTTGAACTTTTATGTCATTTAGAATTACATAGCAGCTTGTTATTTTAACACTTGCAGCGAATGAAATGAAATATATATATATATATATAATTTATATAGAAAATATATACTTATAACAGTGTCCGCCCCCCCCCCCCGAAGAAAGTCTACCGCCCCCCCCCCCCCGAAAATTTCAAGTGCCCCCCCCCCCCCTCGGAGAAAAAAGTCTGGAAGAACACTGGCCTTGGCCCCCAGTCAATGATTGTGAAGATGCGATGGTTCGTAGTGATTTTTTCTCAGTGTCAACTGACGACAATAAGAGCAGTTTTTCGTGAAGAATTGAAAACTCACTTCTAGCATACAGTTCTTTTAGAACACCATGTTCCGTTCCTAATTTGTAGAAACCGCCCTCGACGTTCATGAAAACTGCAATCACGCTTCGGGGATCACCGTGACCTCTGTCAACATCTGGAAAACGGATGCGTACATTGTCACCCACTTCACCATCTTTAAATTTTGTATTTGATGTTTTAAGCATCTTAGCACCTTGAGTTTGCAAGCCAGTATGAGCTGCTGATCTGTGTTCCATGATGTCTTGTTAGTTGTGACACAATCTGCAGGTAATGTTCCCTCCGTACCCTTCGTCTGCTTCATTGGGTATTCCACAAATAGCATGGACATCGTTGCCACAGGATCCAAAAAAATGAGCTGCACTACAATGTTTTTCACAAACTATATAGAATCTGTTGGCCACATTATTGTCACGCAACTGGTCTGGGCGTTCCGCCACGGCAGCAGATGAGTTAGCTGAGGATGTCGTTGCATTTATGGCAACCTCCATTTCTTGTTCAATGTTCTCAAGATCTTCCTCAGTAACTATTTTATCGAGAGCCCATATATGGAAACTAACATGGATTTACATTGTTTTCGTTTGACAGCCATCTGCTATGTCTGTCTCATGGTCTGACGGCCCTTTTAATCCATGTCGCCTTGCATATAGAATGCTATACAAACAAGAGCTAAACAATACGTTACTCTCAATGAAAACGAACCCAGAATAATGAAAATGCGATCACAACTTAGTCTAGATAGAACATTGGCCAGGACATCCCGGCCAGTGCGCGTATTGGCCGGCCAATGTACAAAATACGCTGTCAAGTTTAAGCGCTTTGGACTTTGGCCAGTACGCGCATTGGCCGGCCAATGTACGAAATGCGATCTTAGTGCTAAGTTCTTCGGGCTTTGGCCAAGAGAGCCGGCCAATGCGCGGATTGGCCGGCCAATCCGCGCTTTGGCCGCACTTCGGGCTTTGACCGTAACATATATATATATATATATATATATATATATATATATATATATATATATATATATATATATATATATATATATATATATATAAACATTCTTGTAAAAGCAATTTTCGTAATTCGCTTCCAGAGATATGCTTTAGTAGTGGCCCACGAGATCGGACACAACTGGGGCAGTTTTCACGATCCTTCCACTAATTCAGTCTGTAGCCCAAGCAGCAGCAATGGAGGGAAGTTTCTTATGTGGGATAGTGCTGGCTCTGGAAATGACCGAAATTCCGCGACCTTTTCTGAGTGTTCCATACAGGCAATGAGCAATGTGCTATCGGTATGGCTTGATGTGTAGATTTTAGTACAACAGTTACGTTTTATTTGAGTGTACAAGTTATTTAATTTGAAGATTTTCACCCTGTCCATGATAATTAATATTTCTCTGTCGGCGAAAACTGTGCGTTTTCCTTGTCGATTTTGACACAAACTATTACAATGACAATGTCCTTTACGAATGATACTTTCAAACAGTAGCGTTTTACGGCGGATGCGTGGTGTGCGGACCGCAATAAACAAGGGTTTAACACCAAAGCGAAAAATAATTACTTTTTAAAGTGATATCTTCTATATATTCTACTAAAACTCAAGTTTGTTTACATGTTTGAATATTTATTTGTTTTTTTGTTTGTTTTTTTGTTTGTCTGATTGACTACTGTAGAGGATTTGCGCTATGTGGAGAGCTGTAAAATAGTATGTAGGTAGAGAAAATTTTTTGTTTTCAGACAGACTGTTAATCACAAATTTATTTAAAGACGTTAATTAATTTATTGATTTATTCATTGGTAGATTAACCACATTAATTTTAAATTTTTCAAACAATGGCTTTACCTTGACTAAATAGTGACGTCACATGATTTGTTTACTTTTTAGTACAATAAAATTGCGGTTTCCATCATGGACTTTGTGGCCCATTCAAAAGTTTAACGCGTTCTAAAGCTAATTTTCTGTCGGCCATAACTTTAACAATACGTCCGTTTTATGTTTTTATTACGTTCCAACACTTATATAAATTTTCATCTGACTTTTTCATTTAGTTTTACAATAAATTTCTCTAGAAAGTTATCTATTTTTTTATAGATCTAAATATCAGGTGGCCAAGAAAGTTATTTATAGATCTAGATCTAGAATCTAAGTCAAACCAAAGATTAATTAGATACAAACCAAAGATTAATTAGATAAAAATACAATCCATTTTATAATCATAATACATTTTTAGTCCTTAAATACAATGATATAAATCTGTGCGATTTATCCATCTAGATCTAGATCTATGAAGGGATACTGTGGTCAGAGACATGCTCGGCTGAAATGGTGTTTTTAAACGATAAAAACATGTTGTCTGAGACTTGGCGGGACACTGGGCAGGTGAAGTAGAGTTGAGTAGGTCACCTGTGACGTCAGTATATGAAGGGATAGTCCGAAATCGGTGTTTTTAAAAGATAAAAAACATCTTTTTGAATGTGGGGTCTGGTTTTTTGTGACGTTAAGTGACAGAAGTGATGTTTTTTATGGATGACCCCGAAACCCACAGTTATCCAAGGGATGACGGGTAGTCTAGTAGGTATTTAAGCGGAGGTTGACACAATCTGGGGCCGGTGATATTGCCCCTAGTAATAGTACATACTTTTAAGTTTACTGATTTCATTCAATGAAAAATTCAACTTTCCTTTTTATTGCAGTTTAAAGCTAATAGATGCTTCAAGCCAATAGACAGGGTAGAAAACTACTGTGGCAACGGTATAGTCGACAAAGGGGAAGATTGTGACAAAGGGGACATTCATATTGACCCATGCTGTGATCAGTCGTGTCGGTTTCAAGAGAACGCCATTTGTTCGCCCATCAACCACCCGTGCTGCAATGATAAATGTCTCACGGCGCCTAGTACGCAGCCGTGTTTGGGTATAGTGACGCCGCCTTGCCACGAAGAACCGTTTTGCTCTGGTAACAGCTTCGACAAATGCGACCCACCCAAGATTCTACCAAACAACTCGACATGCGAGGACCAAGGCCGATGTTGGTTCGGCAGATGCCAGAGCTACTGTGAAATTCAAAGCCTGAATTCCAACCCGCCGGCTCATCTGGAGACGTGCTCGTGCGATTCCAACACTAGAGATATGTGCATGCACTGTTGCCGGGATGTCCTGGGGGACGGGGAGTGTAAGGTCATGGGCGGACCATACCAAGAGGGCTACCCTTGTCTGCTGGGCTACTGCAAGGCTAACGAGTGTGTCGAGGTGAAAGAAGATTTCCAATTTTCCACATCCGGAGCGAATTCCTTGTTTTACCCAACGATTTCCCTGACCAATCTATTAGTGTTGTGGTATACATACGTCTATTGCATGTGTCCTTTTGAGGACATACTAGTACCTGTTTGAGAAACTCAGGTTTTTAGTTTTAATCAGTGATTATATCGAATCTTAATGATCAATAGAATGGATACAAATCCGCCATCTTTATTGTAAATAATAAGTGGGTCTGACCTGAGTGAACTTGACATATGAACAACTAATTCTTATATCCAAACACTATCGGACCGGAATTCTTTTCACGGCTTAAGGTCACATTGTATATTATCTATAGTCACTGTATGTGGGACTAAGGTCATGGCACAACGTCCTTGCATTAGCTATGGACCCTTCACACACAAAAAAATACAACAACAAAAAACCTTTTTTTTCCCATTTTGTTTAAGTTTAAAGTTACATACACATCTCTTTTTCTTTTAGTTTAATGCGTTAAAAAATTATTAATTTCCACATTTTTTAAAATCCCTGATATGAGTTAGGAAAATGTTTGGACTTAAAAATTATTTGTGTGAAAATAAATTTATGTTGATCCTCGGAATTAGTGGACTGCAAAAAAATTCATTAAAACAGACTTCCGTGCAGTTTGTCATATTTGCCTTTATTAAAGAAATCTTATACAGCAATAAAAACATCTAGTTACATTTTTGTTGTTGGTTGATGAGCCAGAAGTATTGAGTTAGGTTATTTAGTACAGTTGGTTGTATTGTGGTGTGTATACTTAGTTGTGGTGAGTAGTAGACCCATAACCATAACAAGGTGCATAGATAGAAATCCATGTATTTAATAACATGTACAGTCGGTGAAATTCTCAGTCTTCAGCCTTAAAACGTAGGGGCGGGGGTAAACGTCACACCAGATGACACCATTCAAAGGAGTGAAGATAAAGGTAAATTCAATTAGAAAGTCAAACTTTTGCTGTTACTTAGATAACGTATAAAATTTATGTACATCATCGTTCACTTTTTAAACAATACTAGCCGTAATGGCTAGGCTTCGCTCCAGCAATTTATAGCCATTTCTTAATTTAAATGTTAACGCTGACATGTTAGCTTGTTTACATAATGACTCTAATCCCACACCACCCGTCCCACACCCCCTGTCCACTAACAACACGACATATCACTCTATACCACATAGCATAACCTCCCTAAATAGAAAATCATATATTATCTCCTTTTTAGTGCATTATTACACAAAAGCGTGTTATAATAAACCGGGAGTGATCTCCCCTAAACTTTCTCGAATATTCTTATATAAAATAACAGGGGATGGGAACTCGGGCTATAGACATGATTTTTAATCCATTTTAAATACTTAAAGTTTTAAAAATAGAATAAAATCTCGTAGACAAATTAATTGCACACCAAGTGAACGCCAAATAAAAAAGCGCATAATAGTGCGCAATATTATTAGTACTTTTAAAATTTACATTAGTTTTTTGAGAAATCGGAAGTAGCGTAAATTAGTACTTCCGGTCAACGGAAATTACTCAAGATTTAACTGAAGGTAGAGAGTTAGATCTTTTACTTACACGCGAAATTTCATTTATCTATCTGAAATAGTACTCAAGTTATAGGCTTTTGAAAGATTCAAAGTAGGAAAAGTACCACTTCCGGTTATCGGAAATCGCTCAAAAGTTGATACGGATCTACGATTTTGATAAAATACTTATATATGAAATTTCATCAACCTAGCTGTAACGGTACTCAAGTTATCGTGTTTACACACAGACAGACAGACAGACAGACAGACACACAGACAGACACACAGACATACGGACAAGATTGCAAAATTATGTTTTTCCGTATCAGTGAGGTGTAAAACGTCGAGATTTGTAAAAATCTCGATTTTTTTTTGCACGATTACAAGACTTTCTCTATGCTTCGTATATACGAGAAAGTAAACAAACTTGTTATTTTAAAAGCTTTATATTAAAATGTTTTTTATGCAATTTTTTTCAGTACTTCAAATTTTTTATTTACAATAAATTTGCTTGACTAAAAACTATTGCGCACCAAATGAACCTAATAATGCGCCATTAATAAGTGCGGAATAGTAGTGGAAGACACTCTACAACTTGTACTTTCAGAAATTTTTTAATTAATTCATAAAAATACTAATTAGTCATCCAATTAAGTCAAATTTGATGTCAGATTGCCTTCATGTCTTGACCCACGTGTTGAATTTCAAAGAAATGGATCGGTTAGATGTTCCCGTAATTTTGCTTGCCCTTATCGATCAAGGAAGAGTGGCAGAGAGACTGAAAGACAGGCAGAGGAAGCAAGTTAAGTAGAATCTTGAAAAAATGTTTTAATAACACGCTTTTTATATAATCATGCACTAAAAAGCAGGAAATAGATGATTTTCTTTAAATATAATATTGTACTAATAATTACGTAACTAAAAAGAAAAGCATGTGTCGATTTTAAACTCTAGTAAAAGTATTTAAGACATTTTTAGCGACCCACGCTTTTCATTTTTGTTTTGTAAATAGTAGTTCATAATTATATTTTAAGGAGATTTTTTATTTTCTAATTTTAGTGCATGCTTATCTAAAAGCTTGTTATTAAAACGTTTTTTAAAATTGATTTTTAATAAGTTATTTTAATTTTTAAAAAATAGCTACACGTGTCACCAAAAAAAACAAAACTTTGCATGTGATGGTGCAAAGTGGTGCGTCCAAAGTTTTAACAATAAAGAACGAAGCGGAAAAGAGAATTTAAAAAGTCGGATAATCCATCTTGACAGATGAATCTTTCAATACACAATTTAGCAATAATTACTGAAGAAACTCACATAAATGTAAGAAATTAACATATACATTTATTGTTATATTTAGAATATAGTGTACATTTATTTTGACTGATTATAAGTGTAAAAACATAATGCCATAAACAATTATCTTTATAGACTGAAGTGATTCCGTTTCAATCTAGATCTAGAAATCTAGATAATCTAGATCTACATTGCGTTACTTAAAATTAAATTGCATGCAAAATCAAGTATATAATAATTTAAGAATGACGTCAAATCCTTTCATTTATAGCGTACTATAATCTTATTTAATAAAATACCTTAAACAAAAAAAAATTCTTTTGTATCACTATGTAAAAATGTCTCCCTTATGACGCAGATATTCCATGACAGAAGTAGTTTTACATTTGAGAACTAATACTATCACTATCATTTCATTGGCTATCAGACCCTTAAAACCCAATTAACTTTAAGTCCCCAGACTAGTACCTACATGTCCTACCAAGTATTTATATCCATATTCTTTATAACAATTTAAAAAAAGAACAACTTGTATTAACTAATTTAATACCTAAATAGATATTCTTGCAATTTCATGGAAAAATAGACTCGATGTTTAAAATATACATCTCTTCTAAAAACGAATAAAACGGTGTTTAAAATTTGTACTACAAAACAAAAAAAAAAACAAAAATGTTTACTAGCAAAAACCCCATGGAAAAACCTAAACCGAGATGTATGTGAGAATTTAAAAAAAAAACAGCCATTAATAAACCCATTTAAGGGTAAGAATAAACATAAAAATAATAATGATTTTAATATAAAACTCCAGTTATAAAGCCATTTAAGAGTAGAATCGAAAGAAACGTAAAAATAGTAGTGATTTTAATACAAACGCCATTTATAAACCCATTTAAGAGTAGGAAGAAAAGTAAAAATAGGAATGATTTTAATACAAACGCCAGTTATTAACCAATTTAATAGTAGAATAGAAAGAAAAGTAAACATAGTAATGGTTTTAGTGCAATATTGAATCAACATTGTTTTTTCTTTCTTACCTTTTCATGTCTAAATTCCGTCATTATGGCAGATACTAAATTTTTTATTTTTCAACATCTCTACGTTTGTAGGATATATTTAATTGTAGGCTTATAAAATATAACTTTAAAAAGAGTTTAAAATTTGTTTATTATAAATTGCATAAAATGGGTTAGACCGGCTAAGAAGTGGTTAAGTAAAAATAAAATAATTTAAGATTTAGAAAAATTGAAAATAAGCTTTGTAATTTACTTTCTAATTACTTTCTAATTACTAAAAACAAACAAACAAAATAGCAGTAGCCTAGATTATGTAGCCAATTAAAGTATCAAAAATATTAACAATATAATAACTAGAAATTATTTTTGTCAGGTCCTATGGATCCAAAAAAGAAAATAGATATCTTTATCTACGATGTATTTTATTGCGAGCAGTCTTTTAACAGTAAACTGTGCACGGTGTTTGATTAGGTTTATATTTTAAAGAAGTTAAATACATAACATCCATTAATTTTTCTCCAGAGTTGGCATTGCGCTGCATGTCAAAGACCCCTGTGTTACTAATGAATATAAATGGAAATATAATCTTCTTTATTTCTTTCCATATCAACTTGTACCATTCGACTAATTCATTTCTGCAATCAAAATTCAAAACGTTTTCTATTTTAAGTCCGGATATGTTCCAAGTCCGTTCTAAAAGAGACAGAAATAGCAACGGGAAAATTTTAAAAATAGTTACGTTTTCCGGTTTGGGTCGGTCTTTTGCCCTGCATTTGACACCTGGCTCACCTGTTCTACATCCACAATTCTCTGTCAGTCTGGAAGATTCCAAAGGCGTGCATACCCCCCACCCTGTGGACAAAAACAATTTTTACCACGGATTTCTTCACCCTGACCCAGAAGCGGTCGTAGACGCAGCTTTTGCTGACGGTATTTGGATTGCTCGGATATTCACTAAAGAAATAACCTACAGTATTGAGCCGCTAGGCCTTCATGAACCCAAGGCAAATTCCCAGTTAGTGGTTTTGTTTAGCAATCTCGGTCTACGAGAGGATATGAATACAACCAAGGGGGACTCCATGCATCCATTTTGTCGTGATTTTTCCTTCCCGACCCAACACAGCTCAAACAATACCAGACTGAAGCGACATTTCTTGTCAAAAAATATAAAAAATGCTCGAAACTCTCAGAAGAAGATAAAGTCAAGGTTTACAGGATCCGATTCTGAAACAGCTTTGAGCTGTGAGGTTTTAGCAGTCGTAGACTACTTGGCATTTCGCGGTGTTGGGGAGAACAACGTTCCAAGAATGATAGGCATCATGGTCTCTGTATACCAAATCGCAAACCGGATCTTCAATACTACAGTCTTTATAGATCTCCCAAGATTAACTTTATCGGTGCGCAAGTTTCTCATCCATACAAACTTTACCATCTCAAGCTCCCAGCACTATAATCAACCAAATATTGAACTGAATGCGCAAAACTTGATTTACCTGATGTCGTTTCAAAGTATTTTTATTGATTACTGCATTGGGCATCTGACGACGCAAAGGTATCTGGAAGGTATTCTAGGTTTAGCCACCATAGCTAAAGACCTTACACATGACTGGTGTAATGGGATTTGTTCAGTAAGTGATGCCCAATCAAGAAACATCGGATACAGCACCTTTAAAGGCGGCAGTGAGATTATTCTTTCTCTAAAAGTAAGTAAAGTAACATGCTTAAAGTGCAGACGCAGTTTAAAATAAAACATGAATCATGTATCTAATTATGTAAGGGCAGCGTATGAAATTGTAACAATGAAGCCGAAATTAAGTTTGAACTTTGCGGTCAGCACACCGTAGGTCTGGTACTCATCAGAGCTTGGTTGACCGAAATACGAACTCGAGACTAGCGGCCAAACACTCTACATCCGACCACGCTGTCCATGTACGTACTTATAGACAATACTTACCTTTACAATATACGAAATTCACTTCCAGAGATATGCTTTAGTAGTGGCCCACGAGATCGGACACAACTGGGGCAGTTTTCACGATCCTTCCACTAATTCAGACTGTAGCCCAAGCAGCAGCAATGGAGGGAAGTTTCTTATGTGGCCGAGTGCGGGCGCTGGAAATGACCGAAATTCCGCGACTTTTTCTGAGTGTTCCATACAGGCAATGAGCAATGTGCTATCGGTAATGATCGATGTATTAATTAAAAATAAGCATTGTTTCGTTTTTGTGTGTGTAAAAAGTATAAAAATATTTTTAAGGTGCACACAATCTCATTGAGGATAAATTTTGTTTTTTCGGCAAAACTGCGTTTTTTTTTGCAGACGGACACAAATTATTACAATGATCATGTCTTTTGCCTTTGAAATATACTTTAAAACTGCAGCGTCTTAAAACGGAGTAGGGATGTTAGGATCGCAGCGAGTGAAGCCTTTTTAAATGGGTGACCCCAAAACATTAAAAAAAAACATTTTTTTAAATGTGAAAGTCCCCTTTTCCTTTTAATTTAATTACCTTTAAAAGAAAAAAAATATTTAGGCGAAGGTTGACACTGTCTGTAAGAGGAGGTTTTATTGCTTATAATATTAGAAAATACTTTTGGAGGGGATGACAACACGTTTTAACACACTGGAGTCACATCACCACACCTAAGTAGAAATTTCATGCAGATTTCCCAATAATTTTAAGGGTTATTGATTTTATTAATTGAAAAAAAAAATCAACTTTATGTTTTATTGCAGTATAAAGCTAATAAATGCTTCAAGCCAGTAGACATGATAGCAAAATACTGTGGCAACGGTATAGTCGATGAAGGGGAAGATTGTGACAAAGGGGACATTCAAATTGACCCATGCTGTGATCAGTCGTGTCGGTTTCAAGAGAACGCCATTTGTTCGCCCATCAACCACCCATGCTGCAATGAAAAGTGTCTCACGGCGCCTAGTACGCAGCCGTGTTTGGGTATAGTGACGCCGCCTTGCCACGAAGAACCGTTTTGCTCTGGTAACAGCTTCGACAAATGCGACCCACCCAAGATTCTACCGAACAACTCGACGTGCGAGGACCAAGGCCGATGTTGGTTCGGCAGATGCCAATGCTTCTGTGAAATTCAAAGCCTGAATTCTAACCCGCAGGCTCACCTGGAGACGTGCTCGTGCGATTCCAACACTAGAGATATGTGCATGCACTGTTGCCGGGATGTCCTGGGGGACGGGGAGTGTAAGGTCATGGGCGGACCATACCAAGAGGGCTACCCTTGTCTGCTGGGCTACTGCAAGGCTAACGAGTGTGTCGAGGTGAAAGAAGATTTCCAATTTTTCACATCCGGAACGAATCCCTCGTTTTACCTAACGATTTCCGTGACCAATTTAATAGTGTTTTCATTCAGTACAAATACGTATATTATAAGTGTTCTAATTAAGTCTTACTAGATTCTGTATAAAAGTAGGATTTTCGTGTATTTATTAGTGATTGTTTCGGATCTGAGTGATTATTGACATTGATTCAACAGCTTCTATCTTTTTCGGTGTGTCTGACTTGAGTGAACGTAACGTGAGCAGCTGTTTCGTATATTATAAGGAAATAATATCACTCGTTTGTTACTGACATCGGACCAGTCAACTACGAGGAAAGAAATATTTAAGGTCATATTTGGTTCTGCCTATGTATGGTCTATGTACCTTTGATTACATTCACTGCTTATTGGCGTTTTATAAGACCAGGACTCTTCACATTTAAAAAAAAAATAAAAAAAAAATAATCAAAAAAAATAATATAAATAAAATAAATAAAACATATTATAGTTTTTAATTTATTCTGTTTTCAGTTCTACACTATTTAAAATTTCGTTTAAAAAAAAGTTTCAAGGGTATTAAAATGTCTACAATTTTTCTCCCTGATTTGACTTTAGTAAACGTCCATAGACATTATTCTCAATAAATTTTTACATACTTAAACTTTTTTTAAAAAATCATAAAAAACGTTTTAATAACAAGCTTTTATGTAACAAAGCACTAAAAAGTAGAAAATAAATTATGCGCTCCTATAAAGAAAAGCGAGGGTCTCTTCCTAAATATTAGTAAAAATATCCAATTTTTTTACTAAAGTGAATAATTTATTTCTACCTTTTAGTGCATTATTACATAAAAGCTTGTAATTAAAACGTTTTTAACTGTCGTCAGTCGTCAGTCTGTCGACAGTCTAGATCGGGGGTCTCCAAACTACGGCCCGCGGGTCGGATGAGGGTTACAATGTACTCTCAACCGGCTCGCGGAGATCCTTTTGTCCATGGAAAAAATGTCTGTTAGAGGTGGCTGAGGAACTTTGCCCAGAAAATTCAAAACAGTTTGAAAATGTAGCTTTGGGTATACATTTGCCCACCGTGTTGCAGACATTGGTGAAAACATCGTGACTCAAATAGCGAAAAATGCAAGCACGTTTCACTATTTTTTAATTGCAATGGATGAGTCGCTGGACAGCTGTTTCACCTCTCAACTGCTTGTGTTCATTAGGGGTGTGAATGAAGACATGAACATAACACAAGAGCTGGCTTCCCTACATAATATGTAAGGCACTGTTACCGGAGAGCATATATTCAACGAGTTAAAGAAAAAAATTGCTGATTATAACTTCGACTGGACTAACCTCAGTTACCTGACTGTTGATGTGGAAAAGTACACTAGTAGCATAAAGAAAGGCTTGGTTGGACAAGCGAATGAGAACAATATTCTGCAACCAATGCTCCTGATCTCTATTATTCATTAGCAAGCTTTGCGTGCTAAATATATGGACATTAGCAGTGTACTGAATCCTGTGGTGAAGATGGCGAATTTGATAAGGTCACCTGGGCTCAACCATAGATATCGAATACGTGAAGAATAATTTGAGAGAAAACATGGACCTCGAGTGTGTTGTAGGCCACCGACAGTGTTTCTATCAGATTTTTTTTCTCTGGGGGGGGGGATGCGGTGGCACTTAAAATTTGTGTATATTTATATATAAATTATATTTTATTGGGGGGGGGGGGGGTGGTGGTGGACGTTTTTCGGGGGGGGGGGGGGGGGGAACGCAGGAGTGAAAATTCGGACACTTCTACTTGACCGATACGGTTCACAGTTGGCACGTGGGTCAAGACATGAAGACAACGGGATCTGAAATTAAATTTGACTAAATTGGATGCCTAATTAATTTTTTATGAATTAATTAAAATTTTGACCAAATTAGTAGGCATGTCTATCCAACCACACCACACGCGTCATCACGTTCAATAGCTGCGCCATTACGTTCAATAGGCGCGCAATGGTTTTTAGTCATGAAGCTCTATTGTAAATAAAAACATGTATGTACTAAAAACAAATTTAATAAAAAACGTTTTAATAACAAGCTTTTATGTATTAATGCACTAAAAAGTAGAAAATAAATTATATACTACTATTTCTTTATAGTTATTTAAATAGTAGTCTATAATTTATTTTCTACTTTTTAGTGCATTAATACATAAAAGCATGTTATTAAAACGTTTTTTATGAAATTTTTTATGATTTTTTTTTCAGTACTCTAAATTTTAAAAATAATTTACAATAGAGTTTCGTGACTAAAAACCGTTGCACGCATAATGAACGTGATGACGCGTGTATAATGGTGCGGAATAGTTTAATGAGACAGTCTACTAATTTGGACACAATTTTAATTAATTCATAAAAAATTAATCAGGCAACCAATTAAGTCAAATGTAATGTTATGTTGCATTGTCTTCGTGTCTTGACTCACGTACCAACTACGGACCGTATCTGCCAGTTAGAAGTGCCTGCAATTTCGCTCGGGCGTTTCGATCTAGACTGACGATAGAGGAAGTGAGTTAAATAAAAGCTTGTAAAAAAAATTCATAAAAAACGTTTTAATAACAAGCTTTTATGTAATAATGACTGTAGAAAATAAATTATACTCTACTATTTAAATAACTATAAAGAAAAGCGTGGGTCACTTTAGTACCTATTGGATACATTTACTAATATTTGAGAAAAGACCCACGCTTTTCTTATAATTATTTAAATAGTAGTGTATAATTTATTTTCTACTTTTAGTGCATTATTACATAAAAGCTTGTTATAAAAAAGTTTATTTATGAATTTTTTATCCAGTACTTTACATGTTTTATTTACAATAGAGTTACATGACTAAAAACCATTGAGCACCTGTTTAACGTGATGACGCGCTATTGAACGCGATGACGCGTGTGGAGTAGTTGGATAGGGCTGCCTACTAATATGGTCAAAACTTTAATTAATTCATAAAAAATTAAGTCAAATTGAATGTCATGATGTATTGTCTTCTTGTCTTGACCAACGTACCAATTACGAACCGTATCTGTCAGTTAGGAGTGCCTGCAATTTCGCAGGCCTTTTCGATCTGGACAGACAGACTGACGAGGAAGTGAGTTAAATAAAAGCTTGTAAAAATAGAATAAAATCTCGTAGAAAAAAAGAATTTGACACCAAGTGAACAGCGAATTCTAAATCTGACAGAAAACAGAGAATTAGATCTTTTACTTACTTGTGTAATTTCGACTATATATCATAAACAGTACTCAAGTTATAGGCTTTTAAAATACCGAAAGTAAAATAAGTTCCACTTCCGGTTACCGGAAATAGCTGAAAAGTTGATAAAGAACTACACATTTGATTACTTAAAAGAATATACACTCGAAAAAAAAGAGGAGATAACAAGATTGAGTACTAACGGTTGCAAGTCGACGACCATGACTTTTAGGTCACGGCTGGTAGATTTCTTGCACGAGAGTCGATCACGGAATTAGAAGGGTTAGAAAAAAAGTCTTCAAGAGATCGCAAACTACTGATCGGGTTTTAAAGCAAATATTTTTAGTCTTAGGTGGTGTCGAACAAACAAAGCAAATATAAAAAGATTTATATTAGCAAGCTTTTAATAAGAAGAGGCTCCGGAAATAAAAAACAACAACTTCCTAATCAATAAGACTTTTGTAATTGATTTGCGTGAGGGCAATTAAGGGAAAATATTTGCATGCATTAGGGTCTCTTTTGAAAATTTGTTTGCCATGGCAACAACGGTCATATTGAAAAAAACTACCTTTTGTGGAGGACTCACAGTCCAAAAAGTAACATATTGTTCACATAATCATTGATTCTTCTTTTAATAACTTTAATAGAGTTTTATGAGTAAAATCTTCTGCGTACCAATTAAACATGAAAATGCGCGTATATTTGTCCGGTAAATAGTAGGTCCCCCTACTTTATTTAGCAGTTTAATAAATTCATAAAAAATCTAATTAGGCATCCAATCAAGTTAAATTTGATGCCTGATTGCATTGTCATTGGGTCTTGAGCGGCGTGCCAAGTTTGAAACGAATCGGTTAGTTGAAAGTACTCAAAATTTCGCCCGGCAGTTTTGATATATGACGACAGACAGATAAACGTTCAAGCTTGTAAAAACGCATTAAAACGTTTAATAAGAAGCGTTTATGTAATAACGCACTAAAAAGTAGAAAATATATTAATATCTGTAAAGATATTAGTAATAATGAGCTTTTATATAAATAATTAGAAATTGAAGATGGTTGGGCACAGTGTTGACCTATCATCCCTTCATATGACGAGAAAAGTAGAGAAAAAAAATCCTAATCAACTACATCTAGAGCAGACTAGTCCTATAGCTATGAACTGATGTGTTTAGCCATCTCTAGAATCTCTTCTATCAGCCCCCCCCCCCCCCGCCGCATACCCTGGACGAAATAGAAAAGTAATAATTTAATTTGAAAATTATCTTTATTCGTTCTTATATTATAGCTTGTAAGTAGGTCACCAACTTCTAGTTCTCGTACTTGCCGGTTAGTATTTTTCAAACCAAATGTGAATATTTTTAATAAATCGGTTAAAAAAAAAAAAAAAATTAACCCCGCTATTGTTATCTTTTTAAAAAAAACCAACAAATCCTGACAATGATAATAATAAACTACAAGATGTATGCTAGCTTAATGAAAAATAATAATCATTAAAAAAGTTAAAAAAAAAACCCCACGTTTTCTGATTGAACTAAAAAGTAGAAAATAAATGCTATACATCACAATAATGCAAGCGATCACTCTACTATAAGCGATCAAAAACGTGGGGCGCCGAAGTAAAAGTTATATTACTATTGATTAGATAATACTATTGACTTTTATTAGGGAGCTTGTAGAGAGTCAACAGTATTAGAAACTTTAAGAAAATCACGGCGCCCCACGTTTTTGATCGCTTATAGTAGAGTGATCGCTTGCATTATTGTGATGTATAGCATTTATTTTCTACTTTTTAGTTCAAGCAGAAAACGTGGGTTTTTTAAAACTTTTTAAATGATTATTATTTTCTACTTTTTAGTCTTTGTCTGTTTGTTTGCATTAAAATCTTGCTATCGATTTTATCTTTTCACTTTTTTTTGGGTAAACGAAGACAACTCGTAAAAAGACAACTCGTAAAAAGACAACTCGTAAAAAACACGTTGTGTGAATACGTTACTGACTAGAACACATAGATTTGAACCCGTGTCGAGTGGGATAGCAATCGTGTGCCCAACCACTCGACCATATCGTCTCCCCCAAACTGGCCACCAGTGGTAATAGTTATCTCCTGTAACTTTAAAGTCGGTTAAAACTAAATTATCTGCCCCTAAGCCTGTCGCGAAGTGGGATCGTTCGCTTCACTTCGCGCGGCAAGAGAGAGGCTAGCTACGCGTCGCTGGTTTTTTTCTAATGGCTCGCAGAGGAGAACTATATATATAGATTATATAGCGGTCTAAAATGCTCTATAAAATGTTTCCATTGATCAATTTAGTAATAATAACAGTTGCATATTCTATGGTCATCCAAAAGAAAGCTTCCCTGAAAATTTCAGCGCGCTAGCTAACTGGGAAGTGCCAGAAATTTCGATCGCAAGATTTGATTGGAAAGACAAACAAACAAACAGAGAAAGCAAGTTAAAGAAAACGTGGGAATATAGCCTACGTTAAATTGTGATTTGTTTTTAAAGATAAGTAGATGTAGTTATCATTTATTAGAATCCGAATGAAATCGTCCTAAACGTAGTTACAATATTACCATAACATTGATAGCCTAGTTCTAGTACCAGTACTTAATTTGAATCTTTTATTAGTACAAAATTTATAATCCTTGCATTTTGGGAACTCTTGGTATTTTAAAGTTAGGCCTAGACATAATAGCGTCATGTTAGCAATGGAAATCAGGTGCAAAACAATTTAGTTCGAAAATTTATCTTTCTTCCTGGCTAACTTGATTTCGAATTTTATGCGAGAGAGAACGAGATATACAAGTTCTATTTTCCAAAGACTTAAATTTCCTCTCCCTTCCTTCGCAGCTAAATGTCTAAAAGAAAGTCTAACCACAAATAAAAGGCCCAGTTGTGGAAGTAATAGATCTAGTGCGAAGCAGTGCGAACAATTTTTGATCAAAATTAAACGACGCAGAAACGAAGAAGTTAAAAAGTTGGATATTCTATTGTGAGAAACGTTTAACACATAAAATGTAAGACATTTTTACCGAAATTACCCTTGAAACGAGTATAACGTAAGATTGTAACATACTTTTATATTAATTTTGAAATTGTTAAAGAAAATTTAATAGTTTTTAATTTGACTAAAATAATGAGAGTATCAAGAAAACAGCACTAAACAAGATAACATTTTGACTCTAATCTAGCTCTAGATCTAGAAATGTAGTCGAAAATTACATTGGTATGCTATTTTGTATTTAAGAATGACATCAACTCATTTTCCGTAAGGCGGTAGAGAGCTAGGCCGCTCTGATGGGTACCTAACTCAAGTTAGGGAAACAAAGGCGGCTGGGCAAAGAGCTGACCCTACTATTCTTTCACATGCCTAGGTCTTTGAAGCAGGTGGACTCTACTTCATCTGCCCCATGTGTCATGGGCACGAACAGGAAACGATGATAATTATCCACTGAACTTTAAGTAAATATCATATCAAGTATCCAAAAAGATCAAAATATTAAATAAATGTTAATAAATAACTATAAAGAAGAAAAAGGCGACACCCTTTCATCTATCACTAATAAACAAATTTAAGCGTAGACTATAGCCTAGGGCAGGGGTCTCCAAACTTTTCAGTCCGAGGGCCGCATTTACTATCAAATTTCAGTTCGGGGGCCAATTTCTTCCAGGCATGTCTTCGATTTTTCTGGGCAAAGTTCCTCAAACATCACCAACAAACGTTTTTCCGTGGACAAAAATAACTCCGCGGGCCGGATGAGAGGACCTCGCGGGCCGGATGCGGCCCGCGGGCCGTAGTTTGGAGACCCCTGGCCTAGGGTAACGGCGTATTGAATTCTATAGTAAAATAAAGTTTGTATTTCCCAACCTGTCCCTGGGTGTCAAAAATACAGAAATGAAATATATAGTACACATATTTTAAATTTCTAGGAGTTTGAATATAAAAATTTCTTAAAAACTAAATTACGTCTTTATTTGTGTTACATTTTTAAAATAAAGATTATTTTCGTTTGCAAGATTTTAGGTAATTACAAGAAATAAAAATAAAAAGCGATAGCTGTTTTCTCTACACTTAGTATAAGTACAATGAAAATACAAAAAAATTACTGATTAAATTATTTCTTTTTAAAATAACATTTGGCTTAACCGAAAAGCATTATCAAATAAAAAAAAACTTATTCAAAAACCACAAAGAAAAAATTTATAGGAAGGCTGTAGTAGAAAAAAAAAGAGTGCTCTAGAAAAAATAGCCGATCAAACGTTTAGTTTATCCATGTCCGCAATAATTATCTCGTTAAATACTCGCCAGTCCTACACATCAATAACTATAAAATTGGAGTATCGAGCCAACACAGTTTGATGTCAATAACTCATCTTCGTATTTAAAAAAACCAATTGAATAAAGTCGTTTTTGTTTTGGTCAATAACTGTGCTAGGTTTAGCTCGAGTGTTAGTTCTAGTGTAAGTGTTAATAATAACAATAAGAATTGATAAATTATTGATATTAAATCAAAAAATTAGGTACATATGTTTAAAAAGTTAAAATACATAACGTCCATTAATTTTTCCCCAGCGTTGGCATTGCTCTGCATGTCAAAGACCCCTGTGTCATAATGAATATAAATGGAAATATAATCTTCTTTATTTCTCTCCATATCAACTTGTACCATTCGACCAATTCATTTCTTCATTCAAAATTCAAAAAGTTTTCAATTTTAAGTCCGGATATGTTCCAAGTCCGTTCCAAAAGAGATAGAAATAGCAACAAGGAAATTTTAAAAATTGTAAATTTTTCCGGCCTGGGTCGGTCTTTTGCCCTGCATTTGACACCTGGCTCACCTGTTCTACATCCACAATTCTCTGTCAGTCTGGAAGATTCCAAAGGCGTGCAAACCCCCCACCCTGTGGACAAAAACAATTTTTACCACGGATTTCTTCACCCTGATCCAGAGGCGGTCGTAGACGCAGCTTTTGCTGACGGTATTTGGATTGCTCGGATATTCACTAAAGAAATAACCTACAGTATTGAGCCGCTAGGCTTTCATGAACCTAAGGCAAATTCCCAGTTAGTGGTTTTGTTTAGCAATCTCGATCTACGAGAGGATATGAATACAACTGAGGGGGGCACCATGCAGCCATTTTGTCGTGAGTTTTCCTTCCCGAGCACCAACAATCCAAACAATTCCAGAATTTCAGAACAACAAAAACGAAAATCGTTTTCTAAAAGATCGAGCAAGGCAAGACAATCTAGGAAAAAAATAAAATCCAGAGCAACGCAACCGGATCCCAATGAAGTCTTGGCGTGCGATCTGCTAGCCGTCGTGGACTACCTTGCCTTTCGCGGTGTTGGGGAGAACAGCGTTCCACGAATGATAGGCATCTTGATCTCTGTATACCAAACCGCAAACAGGATCTATAACTCGACCGTATTCGGAGAACTCCCAAGGTTAAATTTATCTGTGCGCAAGTTTCTCATCCATACAAACTTCACCATCTCACAAACGCAGCACTATAATCAACCGAACATCGAAGTCGTTCCGGAAAAGGTGGTTTACTACATGTCGTTTCAAAATATGTTTAGTGAATACTGCCTTGGACACCTGACGACGCAAAGGTATTTGAACGGTTTGCTCGGTTTAGCTGCCACAGCTGAAGACATCTCAAAAGAATGGTCCAATGGAATATGTGGAGGAAGTGCCGCCAACTCAAAGAATGTTGGGTATAGCACCTTCTTAGGCAACGGCGGGATGGTTATTCCACTGAGCGTAAGTAAAGTTAAAAAGTATGTGGGGTAACGAACATAACCGTCAATAAAATTCTAAAATATTGCATATGCCTCTAGTACAGCGATTTAAAATTACCGTAATAATAATATTTATGCGAATTTAAAACCGAAGTCCAATGGTATTGTATTGGGATACTATGTGGCGTTCTAAAGGCTTGCGTCATTAATTAAGTAGAACAAATATATTAAAAAAAAACTAACCTTTATACTAATACGTTTTTAAATATACTAAAATAATTAAATAATAACAAACGTAATAGCAAAATGTGAATGCAAATTATGCAGACGTGTAAGAGTACATTATTGTTGGAATATTATTATTAGCATTGATCGATAAAAGGCTATCTTTTATTTATTTTATTCACTGAATGTACTGTTTACTAATTATAATTTTTAATCAACTATTCTCCATTACTATATTAAGTCATCACGTTCATTAGGTGCGCAATGGTTTTAGTCATGAAACTTTATTGTAAATTTTTAAAAGTACTGAAAAAAATGCATGAATTTATAAAGTGCAATATGGTCGGTAAAACACGGATATTCTAAATACTGCCTTTAATTTATTTGCGGAAAAGCTAGGGGTTTTATAACAGAGGCGTAGCAAGAGGGGGGGGGGAGGGTGGAAATCGAAAGTTTGAGGGAGGTGGGAGGGTGTAAATCGAAATTTTCCGTCGGCGCTCGGAAAGGGCGCGATTTGGCGCTACGGGATAGACTGTGAGCAATATGCCTTTATGATTACATTTAAATTGAGTTTATGTTGAGTGTTGTGTTTGTTTTTTCGTTTTTGTTTTTTCTTTGCGTTCGTTTGTGTTGTATTTAGTTTTGTTCTGTTCCCAACTTGGTACATTTAAAAAAGATTTACCGTGTGTTGTGGTTGTGGTTGTGTTGTGGTTGTGTTGTGGTTGTGTTGTGGTTGTGTTGTGGTTGTTTTGTGGTTGTGTTGTGGTTGTGGTTGTGTTGTGATTGTGTTGTGGTTGTAATGTGGTTGTGTTGTGGTTGTGGTTGGTTTGTGTTTGTGTTGTGTTTTTGTTTGTTTTGTTCTGTTCTGTTCCAAAGTTGGTATATTTTAAAAAGATTTACCGTGGCGGAGCACGGGATGCAGCTAGTATATATATATATATATATATATATATATATATATATATATATATATATATATATATATATAATTTCTTTGAACTTACTTCCAGAAATATGCTTTGGTAGTGGCCCACGAGATTGGGCACAACTGGGGAAGCAACCACGACCTAGCCGACAACCCCACCTGCAGCCCGAGCAGTAAAGATGGCGGGAAATATCTCATGTGGGCTAATGCCGGCAGCGTCAACGACCGAAATGGCGGGACGTTTTCACCGTGCTCGATAAAGTCTATTACACAGATATTACAGGTAAAATAGTTGATGTTTAATACAGTATATTACACAGAAATTAATGGTAAAATATTTGATGTTTTATACAGTCTATTACACAGATATTAATGGTCACATATTTGATGTTTAATGCAGTATATTACACAGATATTAATGGTAAAAAATTTGATGTTTAATACAGTCTATTACACAGATATTAAAGGTAAAATTTGATGTTTAATACAGTCTATTACACTGATATTAATGGTAAAAATTTGATGTCTAATTTTGTATATGGATGTTTTTTAAGGAAACGGGTGGTGTAGGGGTGGGGGAGTATTATCTTCATTTCGTTTCCATGACAAATTATCTCAAGACAAATGATCTCAGACAAAATATCTCAGACAAAATATCTCACGGACAAATGATCTCAGACAAAATATCTCACGGACAAATGATCTCAGGACAAATGATCTCAGGACAAATGATCTCAAGGACAAATGATCTCACGGACAAAAGATACTAGGACAAAATATATCAGGACAAATGATATCATGGACAAATGATCTCAGACAAAATATCTCAGACAAAATATCTCACAGCGAAATTTTAATAGTATGTACGATGATTTTAGTTGATTTGAACTTTTTTTAAATTGACTGTTAATAAGGGTTTGTTTACTTTTTTACGCACAATAATTGTGAATGTAACGTCCCCTATCTATCAGCCAGATAGAAGGTGAACGTCCCCGGATTCTTTTTTCGGGGTCATATGCAAATGCCTCACGGCCTAAATGGATGAACACTAACACAACGGCACACTAGGGCTCGAATTCGATGTCTAGGGAAACTAGTGATACTATTGTAATTAACACTCATCCAATCTACATACAACCTTTAATAAGCGAACACAGTTGTGGTAGAACACAAGGTTAAACTAGATAGAATATTTAATGTATAAAATATCAAAACCCAACTTACAGAGTGTAGGAAAAAACACTATCACAGATTTCTACACTGCCTAAAAGAATAGCCACAGGCCACACAACACTGCTATAGCTTCAAGAATTACTTGGCGACAAGTAATATTATACTAGAAGACTAAATCAACTTAAGAAAGCGTAGCACACACAGGACTTAAGTTCTCTCACGTTCAAATGGTCAGAGTCTATAGCCGGACAATATGGACGGCTGCCTGATCAAGGTAAAACTGCCTGCGACAAGTCTCAAATGGAGACTCACAGATCACTCAAGGCCACTTGAGCTACTGTTCTCGTGCTGGTTGTGTTTCCTATGGTGTGACACTTTACGTGGTTCTAACCACTAGGCCACTAGTGGTGTTCCTAACCACTATGCCACATTACTCGGCAGCAAGCCGAGTTTCTAAGCCACTAGACCACTAGACACCATAGACTCTACTCAGTTTCTCACCGAGTATTCGACCCTCGGCCGCCGCCGTGGCGCGCCGAGATCCTAGCCATTGAGCTATGGGGTAGTCATCTGACCAGAATCATTCAATCAGATCTTAATGGAAAATTTCTATGTCTTAGACCCCTTAATAAGTCAGTGGAAAAACCCCGGTTGTTGCACAACCACTCCATATAAGGAATTATACAATATCAAAATAAAAATGGAACCTGACTCGACCTAAGTAGGTCACATCCCCTCCCTTTTTGGAAGTGACAGATAGGTTCCACAAAAACATACATAAGGAACCAATCTGGCAATGAAATAAAAAAAATGTTTTACAAATGTAGGCAATCAAAATCATAATACCAGATGAAAATATCCCTGAACATAAAAGGGAAGTAACTCCAACTTTTACAATTGGTGAAAGGGAAGTAACCCTTCAAAAGGTAATTATACATCAAAATCCCTCAAAAAAGGGTATTACAATATTTCCATGTGGATATTAAAAGTGGTAAACCCGCCAGGGTAAGACCTTTATTTCAATGACTAGCTACAATATCAATTGAGTCATCTGAGACATTTTATTATAAAAGATTACATAGAATCAAAAACCACCTTTAATTAAGGTTCACCTGAAAATAAACAAAATATTCAATAGAATTGGAATTTTGTAAAAATCAAAAATCATACCACTCATTTTCATGTGAAAACACAACACTAGTGTATGGTCTTAATGAACCACAAAACATGTCACATGATCAATGTGTGCAATAAGATTTTACATCCTTGACAAACAATCAGCCACAACATTATCACTACCCTTAATGTGTGAAATTTCCAGATTAAAATTTTGGAAATATAAACACCATCTCAATATTCTTTGATTTGTCTGTCCTAACTTAGAGGTAAATTTCAGGGGATCATGGTCAGAAAACACTCTGACTGGATTGGTTGAAGAAGAGACATAGACTTCAAAATGTTGTAATGACAAAACCAAAGCTAAAGCTTCTTTTTCAATAGTAGAGTAATTCTTTTGGTTCTCATTTAACTTCCTGGAAAAAAAGGCAATGGGATGGTCAATTCCCATGTTGTCTTCTTGAAATAGGACTGAGCCAATGGCTAAGTTGCTAGCATCAATGGCAAGTTTAAAGGGCTTGCTGAAATTTGGTGCAGCCATAACAGGAGCATTAGATAAAAATGACTTAATGGTTAAAAAAGCTTCTTGACATTTATTTGACCATTCAAACTCAACACCCTTTTTCAATAATGCAGTAAGAGGTTCAGCAATAGCTGAAAAGTTTTGACAGAACCGCCTATAGTAACCAGCCATCCCAAGGAACTTTTTGATCTCTTTACAATTTTTGGGAGGTGGTAACCTTACAATAGCATCTACTTTAGCTTCAATGGGCCGAACTTGGTTCGTTCCCACTTGGTAACCCAAATAGGTAATTGAAGCTCTACAGAAATCACTTTTATGTAAGTTTACAGTAAAATTCACTTCAGACAATTTTCTAAAAAGGTTAGTCAACTGAACAATATGTTCTTCAAAAGTATTAGAAAATACAACTATATCATCTATGTAGGCCTCACATTGGTCTATGTCAGCAATGACAGAGTTAATGACCCTCTGGAAAGTTTGACCAGCATTTCGCATACCAAAGGGCATACGTTTGTATCTATAAAAACCATTAGGGGTTACAAAAGCAGATATTTCTTTTGCACGGTCAGATAAGGGGATTTGCCAGTATCCTGAAAGTAAATCAATTTTGGAAATTATCTTAGCCTGACCAACTTTATCAATAACGTCTTCTATCCGTGGTAATGGATAGGAATCAGCTTTGGTGAGCGCATTTACCTTCCTAAAGTCGGTCACAAACCTGAAAGATCCACCGTCTTTCGGTACTAGGAGACATGGGGAACTCCAGTTGCTGAAACTGGGCTCAATGATATCATTCTTGAGCATATAATCAATTTCATCTTTTATCAAAGCAGCTTTTTCCGGGTTAACTCTATAGGGGTGTTGTTTGATGGGTTTTGCGTCACCTATGTCTACATCATGAGGTGGAACCTTCGCTTCTTTGGGGACATCCCCAAAAATAGAGGGAAATGTCTCAAATAACTGAGACAATCTATGGCTTTCCTCTGTGGACAAATGCATAAGGTGGACATTCAAATTATCTAAAAAGGAAGAATTTACCAATTTTGGGGCTTTCAATTTATCATGTATCACATCATCAGAAACATTTGAACATACAGGTAAAGTAATTTTAGCTGTGGAATGAAAATTGTTACAATTATCATAATACTTTTTCAGTGAATTAACATGATACACTGTCTGTTTCTTTCTTCTGTCGGGCGTATTGACAACATAGTTCAAATCACTTAATTTCGAATGTACAGTAAAGGGTCCACAATATCTCAAGGATAACGCATTGTTCAGATTAGGCACTAGCACAAGAACTTTGTCGCCTGGATTGAATGTTCGTTTACAAGAACTCTTATCATACAGTCCTTTCATTCTCACTTGGGCCTTTCTTAAGTTCTTGTGAGCCATTTCGCACACGGCTTTCAGTCGAACGTGAAAATCATCAAAGTTTTCCACAGGATGAACGCTGGTACCTGTCCACCGTTCGTGTATCAGCTTCAGGGGACCACGGACAGAATGTCCAAACACAAGTTGAAAAGGAGAGTAGCCTAAAGAGTCCTGGACACAGTCCCTCGCAGCGAAAATAATCCAAGGAACAGTCTCATCCCATTGGGTGTTAGTGTTAGCGAACGTTCTTAGCATGGTTTTGAGGGTTTGGTGGAACCTCTCAAGTACGCCTTGAGACTGAGGGTGGTAGGCTGAGCTGGTGATGTGGGTAACGCCTAGCTTGGCTAGTGCTTCCTGAAAATGGTGACTGGTGAAGTTGCTGCCTTGATCTGTTTGCACGATTCTAGGTAATCCAAAGGTAGTGAAGAACCGGGTCATGGCTCTGACTACAGTCTTTGCCTTAATGTTCCGTAAGGGAATCGCCTCGGGAAAACGGGTACTTGAACACATAAAGGTAAGTAGGTACTCGTTGCCCGCCTTGGTTTTAGGCAAGGGACCTACACAGTCCATGACGATTTTAGAAAAAGGTTCTTCTAATACAGGAATCGGACTCAAAGGGGCCTTAGGAATTGTCTGGTTTGGCTTTCCGGCCAACTGACAGTTTGTGCAACTTTTACAGTAACGCGACACATCATTTCTCATTTTGGGCCAAAAGAACAGTTCTTTGATCTTCGCCGTCGTTTTAGAGACTCCTGGGTGCGCTGACATTGGATGGTCATGTGCCAGCTTAAGTATTTCATGCCGATAAGGTGGAGGGACCCACAGCTGGTTTTTACCCAACCATGGTTCGGCTGGTGAGGCATTCACTGGTAGAGCGCGACGAAAGAAGAGGCCGTTCTCGGAGAAATATTCTCCATCGTCAGATGAGAGAGATTTTTCGACCGTTGCTTTGAGTTCCGCGTCGACTTGTTGAGCTTTAATGATGTCTTCCTGAGATATTCTCAGGGGTAAGCCCAGGCTTGTGTTTTCTGGAAGCATAGACTCCAGTTTGGGAGTCGAATTTCTTGACGATGATGGTAGGTGTGGTTCAGACGTTGTGTCAGCCAATTGTTTGGTTTGGCTTCTTGTCACCGCGCATGCAGGATACAGTTCATTATCATTATCTGGAACTGTTGACAAAGGGTCTGAAACCGTACAGGGGTATACTTTGCTTCCCGCAAGGTCATTCCCTAGAAAAAGGTGTACTCCTGGGACAGGAATACTATCTATCACACCTAAAATGACCTCACCTTCGACGAGATGATGTTTCAGGGCAAGCTTGTGTAAAGGGACGACAGTAGATTTTGTCCCTACTCCCTGGATAATGGAAATCCTTCCGGTGTTCGTTTCAGGTGTAATGTCCATTGAACTTTTCAAAAGAAGTGATTGTGACGCTCCTGTGTCTCTTAGGACGGTGATATTCCGCTGAGACAACGGATCACCTGGTTTGCTAATGATGGCTTCGGCAATAAAAGATGAAAAGTCAACTTTTCTCGATCCCTCGAGATCGGTAGACTCGGAAGAAACTGGATGGTGGCGAGAACAGTCAAAATGTGACTGCACATAATGTGTGGAGATTTGACTACCTTCTTGCGGACACTTAGGGTTAGAGTCCTTTAGAATTCTAGAGTTCATAGTTGAACTGGCTGCTTGAGGGGATAGAGCATAGTGCGCAGAAGTACGCACCACCTCTCTGTTATATTGACGACGTTTGTAACAGTCCTTGACAAGATGACCAGGTCTTTTGCAGAACTGGCATACTGCTCGACGATTGAGAGTTGATCTTGATTTCTCTCTGGACCGTGATGCCTTCAAGTGTTGGTCAACAGGAGGATTGCTGCCAAAAAGGGGAAGCACGGGGTTGAGGCGGTTTCCTGACACTGGTGGTTTCTTATGCACCAACATATATGTGTCAGCCGACTCAGCAGCCTTCCGGATGTCAATTATCTTGTTATCCAGTATGTGTAGTCGTATCTCTTCAGGCAGGGACGATAGGAATTCTTCCCTTAGGATAAGTGACCTGAGTTTCTCAAACTCAGAAACTTCCTCCGAGTGTAGCCACCTTGAAAATATTTTCTCCTTTTCAAAGAGAAATTCCACATATGATTGAGTGGGTAACTTGCGGAGTGTTCGGAATTTTGTCCGATAGGCCTCAGGCGTCAGCTCGTAGGCCTTCAAAATGGCAGTTTTGACCAACCTATAGTTATTTTGAACGTCGTGAGAGAGTGCCTGGTATGTTTTTGCAGCTTTCCCAGTAAGGACCGAGCTCAATAAAGCAGTAATGGAAGTTTCGGGCCATTCACATGTCTTCGCTAAACTCTCAAACGAGTTAAAGAAAACGACCAAATCTGTTTCATCAAATTTAGGCACTAATTTCCCAAATTTGGCAATCACTTGCCCCACCGACAACTTTTTTGGATCTACCAGAGAAGTAACATCACTAACTTGACCAAATTCTGATTCCAACCTCCTCCTATCTAAAGCAATTTTAACCTCTAACTCCTGTTCTTTTAATGCCTTCTCTAAAGCAACTTTCTCCTCACGGAGTAACACACCAGCCAACAAACTTTCATCAAATACCCCTTCATTAATAAAATGAACAACAATTTTATCTCTCAACACCTCTGACTTCTGCGTAACAGAATAATCCAATTTCAATTCCTTAACAAGACTAATCAAAACTTTTCTACTCAACTTCTCGACCTCCTCAAAAGTGGGATTAGCCAAAAAAGACTCCATAACACTAACTTTCAAAAACACAACAAGCCTAGATTCACTAACTTAACACTGAGCGTTGGGCCGTGTACTTGACCTCTTATCGTGACACGTCTGGCTGTTGACCTAGATACCACTAGGCTTGCGCGCGCTGTAAGAACACGGCGCACTGGATAGAAAAACAACCAAATCAAACTAAACTTAGTGCTTACTGATATAACCAACAACTGGAACGACAGATTAAATCTCGGCGAGCCCCCACTTTGTAACGTCCCCTATCTATCAGCCAGATAGAAGGTGAACGTCCCCGGATTCTTTTTTCGGGGTCATATGCAAATGCCTCACGGCCTAAATGGATGAACACTAACACAACGGCACACTAGGGCTCGAATTCGATGTCTAGGGAAACTAGTGATACTATTGTAATTAACACTCATCCAATCTACATACAACCTTTAATAAGCGAACACAGTTGTGGTAGAACACAAGGTTAAACTAGATAGAATATTTAATGTATAAAATATCAAAACCCAACTTACAGAGTGTAGGAAAAAACACTATCACAGATTTCTACACTGCCTAAAAGAATAGCCACAGGCCACACAACACTGCTATAGCTTCAAGAATTACTTGGCGACAAGTAATATTATACTAGAAGACTAAATCAACTTAAGAAAGCGTAGCACACACAGGACTTAAGTTCTCTCACGTTCAAATGGTCAGAGTCTATAGCCGGACAATATGGACGGCTGCCTGATCAAGGTAAAACTGCCTGCGACAAGTCTCAAATGGAGACTCACAGATCACTCAAGGCCACTTGAGCTACTGTTCTCGTGCTGGTTGTGTTTCCTATGGTGTGACACTTTACGTGGTTCTAACCACTAGGCCACTAGTGGTGTTCCTAACCACTATGCCACATTACTCGGCAGCAAGCCGAGTTTCTAAGCCACTAGACCACTAGACACCATAGACTCTACTCAGTTTCTCACCGAGTATTCGACCCTCGGCCGCCGCCGTTGCGCGCCGAGATCCTAGCCATTGAGCTATGGGGTAGTCATCTGACCAGAATCATTCAATCAGATCTTAATGGAAAATTTCTATGTCTTAGACCCCTTAATAAGTCAGTGGAAAAACCCCGGTTGTTGCACAACCACTCCATATAAGGAATTATACAATGTCAAAATAAAAATGGAACCTGACTCGACCTAAGTAGGTCACATGAATAAAATGAATATGTTAAACCTAACAGACAATCAAAAGATTTATTAAACTTTGTCGTAGCATTTGATTCGAAAAAGTAAAAATTATAACAAACTTACTCCTTTAGCCTGAATGTTGTAATAAATGATAATGTATGAAACAAATAAAGTAATGGTAGTTATACAACATTAAGGTTCAAAACACGCGAAATATTTTTCAAAAATGTGAATGGGTCTTCAGGATCGTAACGTTAAACTATTGTTTTTATTGCATCATCAACACAAACATAACGTTTACGTTTCTTTGCTGGCAGGTACATCAATATGATCACACCTCTCATATACTATGTGATCATATATTGTGTGAACTCTTGCTCGACATGTCCTAATTTCACATTTCCAAATCTCTTTGCCTTCTTATGGCAAACATAAATTCACCAGAAACTAATGTCCTAAAACCTATCTGCGGGGTAACGAAAGAGGCAATAACTGAGTAATCTCCACTAATACTGCTTTGTTTGATGCACACTACGACAAACTTAGCTCCGCGATGATCGCTTTTTGTTTAAATAAGAATTTGTCACCTGATCACTAAGGTGTGACCGACGCATAACTATTGACTGTTGGTGCTAGTTGTATTGTCCATGGAGGGTGGATGTCTTTCCTTTAAGTCATGTCTCTGCCATCAAAGCGGGCTGCCACCTTAATACGAAAGTGTGTCTTTATTGTTATTTTATTCCTTTTATCTAGTTTCGTCCACCTGGCGTGGTAGGATTGTCTCATGTTTGGCAAGCCCACCTACGCTGTCTATCAAAAACAATCTTTAATCATCGTATAAATTGGAATGCAAATTGTTTCCTTTCTTTATCTTCCAAAATTTATATTTTGTCTATGCAATAGCATTTTATTTAAGGAACAAAAAAAAACAACTTTGAATATGACAATGGACCATTTGTTTTTAGTATTCTAGAGTAAAGTAAGTTAAATTTCAGCATTTATTATTGTATGAGAGATGCATCTTTTTGTCTTGTCAGAGTAAAGTCAGTGGGTGCTTCAAGCAATTGGACCTGATTAAAACATTCTGTGGCAACGGTATAGCCGATGGTGGCGAGGACTGCGACTCGGGGGAGCTTGAAGACGACCCCTGCTGTGATCTGTCGTGTAGGTTCCGCGAGAGCGCCGTTTGTTCACCCTTCAACCACCCGTGCTGCACCGAAACCTGTGGTATCGCCCCTAGTTCCCATCGGTGTTTGGGTATCATATCACCACCCTGCTACGAGCAACCGTTTTGCTCTGGTTACAGCTTCGACAACTGCGACCTACCCAGGGCTCTGCCGAACAACTCGACGTGCGAGGACCAAGGCCGATGTTGGTACGGCAGATGCCAGAGCTTCTGTGAAATTCATAGCCTGAATTCCAACCCGCGGGCTCAGCTGGAGACGTGCTCGTGCGATTCCAACACTAGAGATATGTGCATGCACTGTTGCCGGGATGTCCTGGGGGACGGGGAGTGTAAGGTCATGGGCGGACCATACCAAGAGGGCTACCCTTGTCTGCTGGGCTACTGCAAGGCCAACGAGTGTGTCAAAGGAGAAAGCGAGATGAACTTCCAGGCATTCACGGATATGGAAGTGTGGCCTGGCTCAGCGGTGCCCATGACCTGTCTGGTACACCTGATCACCATGAACATGGTCATCGCACACTTCCTGTGCGCTTACTAGACGAGGATCAACACTATTCGCTGCATGCAAAGAAGGATTCGTACTTTCCTTCTAGCCTACATGGTTATTACGAGTTTGATTGAGTTTGATTTTAACTAAAAAAATATACTTAACATGAGCAGTTAAATCTATTTCTTATGTGTACTGTCGTGGAGTTGCAAGAGGGCTCATGGGTTTATGCTGGGGTAAACTTGAAATATCTGTATTTGGCACATCAAGTCGCTTCAGACATTGTGGGACTCAATTTCATTGCATTTGATTTCACGTTTTGTTAAACTCACATGTGTTATAAGAGTTTTATAGTTTTAAAATAACAGTTCCAAGCTTACAATGTTATATTCTGTTAGTTTTATTATTACATTTCATAATAAATATTAACAAAAATTTCAGAAAAAATGTATGGTTCTTCATTATGTATTTAATATTTAAAAAATGTTAGCATACAACAGAAAAATGTGTTTATCACATTGCTATTCACGTAATCTCTATACTACTAAAACTCGAGTTTGTTCACATGTTTGAATATTTATTTGTTTGTCTGATTGACTACTGTAGAGGATCTACGCTATACGGAGACCTGTAAAATAGTATGTAGGTAGAGAACAATTTTTGTTTTCAGACAGACTGTTAATCACAAATTTATTTAAAGACGTTAATTAATTTATTGATTTATTCATAGGCAAATTAACCACATTAATTTTAAAATTTTAAAACATTGACTAAACTTTGTGGGAATAGTGACGTCACATGATGTGTTTACTTTTTAGTACAATAAATGGCGACTTCAATCCAAGATTTTGTTGCCGATTCAAATGTTTAACGCGTTCTTAAACTAATTTTCTGTCGGCTATAACTTTAACGATACGTCCTTTTGCAATTTTTATTACGTTTCAACACTATTATCAATGTTTTAACACTTCTTTTTATTTTATTATACAATACATTTAATTTGAAATAATTCTAGATCTAATTCTAGGGCTAATTCGCGTAGATTGTTACGCCACTTAGAAGTAAAATATATAAGTTATTAACGTCTCTAGAGTACGAGCCTAGATAGCTAAGAGGTTAGCACATTAGGTTACCATGCGCGTGGCATGGGTTTTAGACATGCCAGTGTTTTTTTTTTATTTTAATTTTTTTTTTTGGTTTTAGTTGTGAATGATAATGTTGCCTTTGCCTATTGGAACTTAGCGGGACACAGGGCAGGTGAAGCAGAGTTCACCTGTTTCTTTGTCCTCAGTATATAACGTGGATAGTGTCGTCAGAGCCATGCTCGGCCGGAATCTTTTTTTTTTTAAAGATAAAACATGTTGTCTGAGACTTGGCGGAACACTGGGCGGGTGACGTAGTGTTAGGTAGGTGTAAAGTTCACATGTGACGACAGCATATGAAGAGATAGTGTGGTCAGACCCTCGCTCAGCCAAAATCTGTGTTTTCACAGACAAAAACATGTCTGAGTTGGGAGGACACTGGGCAGGTGAAGTAGAGTTGACCTGTTTTTGTGACCTCAGCATATGAAAAGATTATGTTGTCAGACCCATGCTCAGACGAAGTCAGTGATTTTAAAAGACAAAAACGTCTGAGGTCTGACGCCTTTTTGAATGTGGAGTCTGGTTATTTTGTAATGATAAGTGACAGACGTGATGTATTTATGGATGACCCCCAAAACCCACAGTTATCTAACTAGATAACGGGTAGTCTAGTAAGTAATAACATGATCTCTCACAACACTTCACTTCTTTTATTAAACGATCAACATAATATTAGGCAATTATTTCCTTCATATGCACACCACATTTGTTTTTTTTTTTGTTCGGGTTGATTACACATAAAAATCAGCTATGAACCACTTCTTCGTAAATTATCACCCTAGTCTGTTCTTTATACAAAACTAGCAGCAAAGCCCAAGGGACAGCAAGAAATAAAGAAGTAAAAATCAAAAACAATAAACGCAAATATAATGTCGATTCGTAGCTGTACTGCCTTATAATTTCACGGCGACGACACAGAATGCTAACATAAATGAATATTATTCCAAACACTGCATGTATTATATCGTCAAAAACATGGAGGGACTACACAAGACCTAACTAAAAATAGCCAGCACAACATGCGATTTAGGAACTACAACTTATCCATCCTGTTAGGGGTCATCCATTTATGAGGCCCATGAAAAAATGGATGCTGTTTGTGTTTTTTTTTTACTCGAAAATTAACCCATTTTATTGTCTTAAGCAGACGTTGGTCCACACAATGATATTTTAGGATGCATTGACTTTATACAAACAGGTTTCTTGTTAGTAGGTGATGATAGCTGATATTTATAGTAGAGAGTGTGCATGTGTTTAATATTTTGAAAAAAAAAATGAAATAAGCTTGTAATTCAAACATGGAAACATTTAGACCCCTCCCCCCTCCTCTCCAAAAAAAAATTAAAAAAATATTAAGGAAGGTGCAGCTCTTTTAGCATCCCCCACCCCTTTAAATCCGCCACAGGCACAACCAACCAGCTGAAAACAGTAGATATGAATTGTAGTTTTGGGTGATAGAACAAATACTTATAACAAATCCACAAAGAATTCCCCAACTTTCTAAAACTAAAAAAATACATAGTACAAAGTTAACGAAATGGAGGGTATTTGTTGCATCGAACTACTGGATATTGAGAATTGTTAAGAGGATTAGATTACGTAAATTTGATACCAAAACTTGGTCAGTTGTAAGCAGATGTTTGGTGGTTTTGACCCAGTACTGTTAGATTAACGTTAGCTTTTAACCTAAAATTGTGCATCTGATTATCGGTCATATCGGGCGTGTGATCGCCTAATGCAATTAATGCATTCGTATTAAAATAATGTAAACATGCAACAGATACCTACTTGGCCTGGGTCCGGGCAATCGATACAACTTAATTATTGGCGTAGCAAGGTGTATAGTCATTAGGTAGGCAAAGCGCATCGTTACAGGCTAGGCAATGCATTCAATTATAAGTGAGGTAAGGCATAAAAACAGCTTACAATGAAAGCGCACAATTATTGGAGAGGAATTGCATTCACTCATAGGCAAGGCAAGGTACATAATTTTTGGGGAAGCCAATGCAATCAATCATAAGTGAGATAAGACACATCATAGCTTACAATCAAGGTGCACAATTATTGGGGAGGCAAAGCATTCACTCATACGTAAGATAAGGCACACAAGCATAGGCTAAACACACAATTACAGGCAAGGTAAGGTACACAATCATAGATAAAACGGTACAGGATCATAGATTAGGTGAGGCACACAACCACAGGTAAAGAAGTGTATATTGTCATAGGTAGGACAAGACACACAACCATATACGAGACACACAGCCATAGGTAATGCGAGGCAAACAGTTATAATCGAGACTAGTGTGGTGTGGGCGAAAGCATACGGCCACACACCAAGGATAAAACTTTCCAGCTTTAATAAAAGAAATTTGTTTAACCAAGACTGAAACAGCCTTTCCCTTTCGTAAAGCCATTTAACTGTTATTGACAATTAAAAACAAAATAAAATGATAAGAACAACAAAACAACAACAACAACAACAACAATAAAGGAGTTGTTGGCCACGCAATACAGTGGGGTTTTGCGCTAGTTCCAAAACCCAGTCTTTTATAAGAAACAAATGTTTATTATATATTTGGTATACTTTTTATTTTCATAACTAAAAATAAACAAATAAAACCGAAAACGTTAAAAAAAAATAATTCTACTTCTGACCTCATTAAACATTTGCTAAAGTATCTAATACACATGTGCACCTAGCATTGCCTGAATGGTTCGATATCTCCGAACCCTCCCCTAACCCACCCATCCCTACCCTTTCCCCCACTCTGCCCCACCCCGACAGCTGTCCCCTATAGACCAGGATGCGGAGTTACCCCATTGGGAGATCAACAGCTGGCGTCTCAACATTGATCATATTACTCCACGTCAGACATGTAATCGCTCAAACTATCCCCCATCCCTAGCTTTTTCCCATAATAAATAGGGAAAAATGAACTCTATAATAGCAAAATGGTAGCCCCATTTCTTAAATGGGTGCGTAAAAATGTTGTTAAAACACAAATTAATTCTCACCTGATACGTTGGTGTGTAAAACCCGGTTAGAGTGTAAGGGACATTTGGGTAACCAAATTTTGTAACAATAATTCAAAGGTCAAACTTGATTAGTAAAGGGAGTGAGCTTCTCTATAATTTCCAGTAAGTTCGTTGTTGTCGTCGAAACAGATTATTCCAATAAATACTACACATCTTTTTTCCTATCCTTTATTGTCATGTCCTTATAGGCCCTACACTTCCCAGCCGCCAAAACCTTCTAGTGTCGTTCACCCGTCTGTTATACCCTAATTCGACATTGGGATAAATATTACATAGATACATAAACCACTTGCACTGCAAAACCTGTCATCTAAAAAAAATTAAAAAAAAAAAATCTCAAGTGAATAATCCTTTTCTTTTAAATTTTTTTTTCTAGTTGTATTGACACAAACGTGCATTGTCTGAATACAAACGCAGAGCTGTATTAGATAATTATTAGATAATTATGACGCTAGATGTAGGCCTATGTACAAAAGTAGAGTTTACCTTATTTCATGAACTCTTATGACCTGATAGTCACGTAACGAAGTGATATATTAATAGAGGATTAACTTAATTAGATAACACTTTGTGATGTGACCGACCGACTTAATTAGATAACACCTCGAGAGGTGAGAAAGTTAATTTAATATATTTTGGAGAAATGAGTGAATTAATAAGATACTAGCTTGATTAGTAAAATCTCGAGAGTTAATCAACGTAAAAATACTTGCAAACATTTTATTTCTTACAGCGGATGAAGTATGAGGCTGGCTGAATTGCGACCAGCCAAATGCGCCCTAAACATATCATCGACTGAATGGTTAGCAGTACGCTTGAAAAAATATTAATAAATTAATCAATCCTCCTTTAACTGTATGGATTGTCGCGGCACCATAGTTGATATTTTCTACCATCTGCTGCTCTGAGTAGTTCTGTAACAGGCAGAACGTTTTTGACTTCCCTTTCTTCTCCCACCTGGTACATTGCACATCATTTTTGTTTTGGATAGGCTTCAGTGACATGCTCATACCATCTTAATTTTCTTGTTCTGAAAATACTCAGTAGACTCTCAAAAGGACCAAGCACATTAGTGATCATTTCACGGACTTCCTCATGTGTTATGTGATCTCTGTATGAGATCCTAAGGAGTCTGCACAAACATCTCATTTCCAAGGTCTGGATTATTTTATGGAGGTCTACGTTGAGAGTACACGCCTCTCATCTATTCAAGAAGAAATACCTGATCGCCTTCAGTTCCTACTCAACAACACCGTATTTTCATGTATCCTGCTGACGTTAATCGTATTTTAAGTCTCTCTCTAAAATCCTAACTACAAAATATCACGATTTTGGAGGGGTCATCTAGGATTCTAACCTAGTTTTAATAAAGCATCCTAGGCTTATAATTTCGAAACTTTTTAATTTGACGGCAATGCGCATGCATAAACGGCAGATAAGCGACGCCATTTCCAATTTAAAATTAATGATAAAAAAGATCAACCCCCTCCCCCATCTGCATGCCTTTAAGTTGTTTTGTGCATGCGGTTTTTTTTTTTTTTGGGTTTCAAAATAACTCATATTACACTATGTGATGGTTGAGTGGTTAACATTAAAAATGCATGAGCTTGTGTGTGTTTGTATGAACTGAGGAGGGGAAAGGGTAGGGGTGTTGATGGGAATGAATCGATTAATTAGTAACTGGATCACCAAGGTAATTAAATTTAAACCACATGGTCTGATAGATTCAGCGAACCGTGTATTAATATATATGGCGGTTGCAAGAAAAGTTTATATCATTTATGTTTTTTCAAATTATGCTGTGCCATATAAGATTGGCAATAGAAAGTCCATCGGGTTTTTAAGTTGATTACCTGTACACGTGAGTCAGGATTAAACTTTGTGAGATATATACTAGTAGTGTAGGAGACTTTAATTGCACATGGGGTTGTAACATTTATATGACATGTGGTTGTGTTGTTTATATGACATGTAGTCGTGTTGTTTATATGACATGTGATTGTGTTGTTTATATGACATGTGGTTGTGACGTTTTTATATGTGGTTGTTATGTTTTATAATTGAACATGTGGTTGTACTATCTTAGTATAATAAAGCAGACGTGCTGTCATGACGTCTTAATAACTTCTGATGTTGATGATGTTGGACGTGAGATTGATTTATGACAGGAGAGAAATTAACAGAATTCATTATGAAGATATCCAAGTGCATGCCGCTGTTCTCTAAAACGTGTCAAGTTCTAAAGTGTACTCCAAAGGGGTTGTGAGTTGTGTTGGCCATACCATATGACAGAAAGTTTAGAGCAGGCTAGAGATACGATGTCCAAGAACGTTTTGACAATAAAACAATACTTGACAAAACTTTGACCAATCATTTTTCTGGCGCTTTGTATTTCAGGGACTAACAGTTGAAGATGAGCAACAACCCTACAACCCAGTACTCACAAAACCTCCCCCTCGGACAGGGGGATAAGAAGGAGATGAATGGCGCGACAGAGGAGAAGTTCGTTCCCTTTGCTATCAACTACCCAATGAGCAATGGACAGGAAGAGGACGAGAAAGCGCAGGAGGAAATGAAGGTCTGAGAGTGGATGGTTGTAGAATAGGGAGAGGAGAGGGGAGGGGCAGGGGAAGAAGTAAAGAGAGGGAAATTGTCTTAGAGATTTAGAAAAAAAAAGCCAACAGTTTTATTGCTAAGACAAAAAACGGTACACATGTTATATGGAAATAGTTTTTTTTTTTTAGACGAAAAGATACGCAACGTGTAATAAATAGTCGAATAACCTTAACGCTGATCACTGAATTATTTTAAAAATAGGAAAATGGCATTGAGGTAGAGTGTGAAACCATGTTTCTACCAAAAGAAAACAAAGAAGACGTCGATGATTGGGACGAAAGCGACGAAGAGATTGACCGGGACTTGAGCAACTCAAACTGGATCGGCAAAGCGGTTGTCCAGATTCAGAAGATGTGCAAGCACATCAACGACATGCTGAAGAGGACAACCAAAGGATATTTCACAGCCGCCATTTTCCTGCTGGGTTACGCAGCATACTTTATCATTGCCATGGTGCATGAGTGAGTAGTGCTCTATTTTAAATTTTGTTAATAGTATATAAAACTCTCTGCTTTTTTAAAGCATTGATTTAATTTATAATGTCTGATTTTTTGTCAGTGGGTTTTCGGCAAATCTTGTAACTCAATTAAACCCACTTCTGAAGAAGCCATTTAGTTAAAACTTTAAAGATTCAATAGTCCATATATATATATATATATATATATATATATATATATATATATATATATATATATATATATATATTTATATTTATATATTTATATATATTAATTAAAAAAAAAAAAAACAATTCCTATGACAAAACTATGCCTTAGACACAGTCTTCAAACATAACAAACATCATTTGCAATATATTTCTTAAAGTTTTGGTGACGAGCCTTCTGTACGGCTGCTAGTGTGCACCATACTGGGGGTTATTATCGCCACACGTCACCGCATCCGGCAAGCGTGTGGGTGGTTGTTCAAGAGGTGGTACGGCGCAGAAAGGTTTTCTGACGCCCACAGAGCGACGTTACACAAGGCGAGGTTCTTCACCAGATGGTGAGTTGTGCTGTCGTTAGGTGGTGATTTGAATCAGTGTCAATACCGTCAGCTTATGTCAAATATTTAATGTTTGTTTTTATGTTTCACAAGTGTAATTTAAAGCGTTAGTTTGCTTGCATGTTCAGTTAAGTATTAACATTTTTTATAATCGGCTTGTTATGACTGGAGCAGGTTTACATTAAAATACTTCATTCTGGTATGTTCTTTCATTCATTGAAGATGGTTTACCTATACATTATACAAAACGTCTAATTTCAATTTTTGAACCTGAAAATTAAAATTAAGTATTTAAATAAATGATGATTGAATGTTATGTGAAGTGTTGAGGGAAGTCTAAAAATATGCAAAAATAATTTTAAAATATTGGAGGACAATATTGGAGGGTCAAGTTAGGGGTTATGAGCTGATAACTAGAGCTGAAATAAATTCGGAATTAAAGAAAATAGCATCATATGTGTAAATTTAATTAAGGTATTTCTTTGCACAATAACTCGATGAATTTACTTTGACGATCTTCGTTGTGTATTAGATTTAACTAATAAAGTTACCCTTTCGAACCTGGCGCTTTATGGTGAAGATAAAAGAGTTTAAATGTTTCGCGACCTAGGCAAATAAAGGGATGGTGTGGTCAGAATTAAGCCAGCTACTTTTACTAACCCAAAGGTGAGTCGTGTAACAATCAGAGCAAGTCACCATAGAGACGTCATATGTACTCAAACCCGTGTTCCGAATTTGAAGCTTTCAGGTTACATCAACTTTTCCATCTCAATTTGAATTTTGATTTAAAAATGGTGACAGTTATTTCGATTTCACACTACTACAAAGTAGAGCCACGTTTACAATTGAAAGTAAAATAACGTATAAGTTTGCCTCCCTCCCTTCCCATGAAGGCTGATGTACGGTGTTCTGACGGCTGTTTCTGTCTACGTGTTGATTGACGAGGGGCGGAAGGACACCAACAACCTGCGGTCACTCCCTGGACTCTTCCTCTTCCTGCTCGTGTGTCTGCTCTTCTCCACACATCCGTCCAAGGTCAGATTTCATAATTAACTTCCGATCGTAGAACGTTTTATTGTCAAAAATCATTCCACCAAAATACCATATTCTAAAAATTAGTGGTTGGCCACTTTATTTTCATATCTCTATATATCTAACTTACCAAAATTTATTATAATTGAACAGTTAGTAGCTCATTGCTCAGGTATTTAAAAAATATCTAAAAACTAACGAGGTAATATTTGAATAGATGATTAAATTATATTAGGTTTGGTTAAAAAAAATATTATTTAAATTTTTTTTTGACCAAATTTACAAGAAGTGAATCTCTCAACTTTTATGCGACGTGAAAATAATTTTCCAGAATTTTTTTCCAAGGTGAACTGGCATACCGTGTACTGGGGCTTTGGCCTACAGTTCCTGACAGCGCTGCTGACTCTCAAATGGAAGACGGGCCAAGATATGGTTCTCTGGGTCCAGAACCGTTTTGATGAGTTTTTTGCCAACTCTAAAGCCAGCTCTAGACTTATGTTTGGGGAGACCTACATGGACCATTACTTTGTTTTTGGAGTGAGTACACACGTTGATATTGAAAATTGAATATATATATATATATATATATATATATATATATATATATATATATATATATATATATATATATATATATACTTAATGCTTATCTGCGTTGTACAAATATAAAACTATTGTTCATCACCAGGCTATGCCCATTGTTTTCCTGACCAATGCCACGTTGACCATGCTCTATTACGTTGGTGCCATGCAATTCCTGATCAAATCCATCGGTAGCTTTCTGTGCTTTGTCTTGAACACTTCGCCCGTGGAGAGCATGAGCGTAGCCGCTGGCATTTTCCTAGAAGGGGTGAGTGTCTCTACATGGTATCGTCACCAAGTATTATTGGGTTTGTTACTGAATAGAAAAATTATTATATATATAATTATAATATAATTGTTTTAACTAAACAGATCACTTCCATACTGTCCCTGAGACCGTATTTGGATAGAGTTTCCAAGTCCGAATTATTTCTGATCATCACTTCAGTTTTTGCATCACTTGGTGGTGCTTATTTGGCCATTCTTTCTACAATAGGGGTAAGTCATTTTACTAAGTGAACATATACTTTTTCTCTCTCTGTTATAACTTTGTTTTCGGAATACATACACATCTGGGCAGTACAAAATAGGGACGGGGGTGTGGACCGCACCTGGTGACACAATCGATGAGCGTGGCGCCATAGTGTACAAATAACTAACCATATTCTTAATGTATGCTTGCATCTGATTAATTCACATCTTTAGGCCCTAGATGACGCTATTTGGATATGGGGTGACACCAAGATGTATTTTGTTTTAATATATCATGTATTTAGACCTATATGAAGCAATAAATATTAAGCAATACATTTAATGAATTAAATTTAAAAATATATAATTTGTTAACAAATATTTAACTAAAACCCTAATCTATAAATCTTCTGTTCTGTACACCCCCAGGTATCCCTGGAGTACCTGATCCCTGCCATGGTGGTGTCCGCCCCTGCCACGTTTGCTGTGTGTAAGCTCATGGTACCAGAGACCAGGAACATGGCCGAGACCTACAAGGAGCTGGCCATAGGAGACGAGGAGAAAAAGTGAGAGACCAGCACTGTTTTTTTAAAAACAAACTGAATCGTCTGTTAGGTTTGGTGCTTTGCGGTTTTCCATAAATGAGGTCATACACCTGGGAATTGGAGCAGGGGCAGACTCATTTATATTAATATTTATAAAATATATGCAATTTAAAGAAGGAAACTAATAAAAGCTAAAGTGTAGTAAAATTTAAGAGAAAGGTGTCTTCCAATTTTGTGGGGATGTGAAGATAGGGGAGGGACTTTGGCCCAACATTTATAGCTATGTCATATATAGAAGACCTCTAATAAAAAAACAAGTTGTATTTCTGTATGATCTATATAGGGAAAACAAGAAAATAATATGATGTGTGTTTTTTGCATTTGTCTTAGACCCACTCAGCAAATACACCAGTATACTTGATATGTGATTGTTGAATTTGTATACAATCTCTTTAGGAAATACACCAACATACTTGATGTGTGATTGTTCAATTTGTATACAATCATTTCAGGAAATTCACCTACATATTTGATCTGTAATTGTTGAATTCGTATATAATCTCTTCAGGAAATACACCAACATATTTGATATGTGATTGTTGTGAATTTGTATACAATCTCTTTAGGAAATACACCAACATACTTGATGTGTGATTGTTCAATTTGTATACAATCATTTCAGGAAATACACCTACATATTTGATCTGTAATTGTTGAATTCGTATATAATCTCTTCACGAAATACACCAACATATTTGATATGTGATTGTTGAATTCATATATAATCTCTTTAGGAAATACACCAACATATTTGATATGTGATTGTTGAATTCATATATAATCTCTTCAGGAAATACACCAACATATTTGATATGTGATTGTTGAATTCATATATAATCTCTTCAGGAAATACACCAACATACTTGATATGTGATTGTTGAATTCATATATAATCTCTTTAGGAAATACACCAACATATTTGATATGTGATTGTTGAATTCATATATAATCTCTTTAGGAAATACACCAACATATTTGATGTGTGATTGTTGAATGCGTATACAATCTCTTCAGGAAATACACCAACATATTTGATGTGTGATTGTTGAATGCGTATACAATCTCTTCAGGAAATACACCAACATATTTGATGTGTGATTGTTGAATGCGTATATAATCTCTTCAGGAAATACACCAACATATTTGATGCCGCCCAAACGGGAGCGACCTCTATGCTGGCTCTAATTGGCAACGTCGTGACCGTGTCCTTTGCTTTTTTCTCATACATCGAGTGGATCAACAACACGCTCGAGTGGTTTGGTGACAGGGTGGGGATCACCAAATTAAGTATAGAGGTGAGTAGGTGTATGCATGTCTCTCTATGTGTATGCGTGTGTCTTAAAGCTACGTATACACATTATGGACAGCAAAGAAAATTGCCAGAGATCGGTAAAAGTTGAAAAACTTTCTGTAGAATTTTAGTTTGTCTTGATTAGGGTCATGAACTAAATTAGACGTGGGGGTCAGTTTATTAAGATAGGGGTCACGTGTTTGGCTGCATATTTTCTTCTCACTGATTTTATACATTCCTGGCTTCCACAGTTGATCATAATTGCTAAAACAATGTTTATCTTTAAATATTATTTGGTCTTTGTTATTTTTTAGCTCATTTCATCGTATCTTTTGTATCCCGTTGCCTTGGCAATGGGTATCGAACCAGAAGACTGCAGAAATGTCGCCATGTTGCTAGGTTACAGAATCGGTATCAACAATATTATTGCCTTTTTCAAGGTGAGTCTGCGCAAGAAAATGATTGGTCTAATCAAAACATTAAAAAAAAAGTCTGTGAAATGAATATACCAAAAGGTTTGTTTTTAAAATAAATTTAACAATACCAATTTTACTCAACAGTTGACAGATTTAAAAATAAACAAAGCCAAGTACGACAACTACATGCTAAGTACGAATTGGACAGGAACGATAACTCGAAACAGAGACGAAGTTATTCTGGATATGTGGAACGTTACTTTAAAACACGGATTCATCTCTGTAAGAAATTGTCTCTTTATGTTCTAAAGAACTTTGAATTTATTTTTTTAAATTGCCGTTAATGCCTAGGTACCCAATGAGATTTACCATTTGTTTAGAGTCTGATTAAAAAAAAAAGAAAAAGAAAGAAAAAAAGAAAAAAAAAGAAGTTGGGGGGGGGGACGATTCGAGCCGATAACAGTAACTTTATTTAACGCAGCAAAGCGTAGCCACAGCGTCACGCACAGCAACACACGTAGGTCACTGGTAGCAGATACACATTTTATACAGTGATAGGATGTTTACACGATGAGCACAACAATGATGTGTACAGCATTGCATGAATTAAATACTAGAAGCATTAAAATACGGTAACTTATGGCAGGCAAAAATTATAGTTACCAACATGGAATCCACGGTTATGCCCCCTTTTCCAAATGTTCTCGTAACGTCACTTATGTAAAGTGTTACAGTTTCCAGTAATGTAATTATAATACCATCGCTCATCTCATTATAACCTTAGATTTATCTCTTGTATTGCAAAAATTTTAACTATCTTCTGATGACAGAAACGATCAGAGGCGATTATAACCTACTGCCTGTGTGGGTTCTCTAGTTGTTTCACCGTGGCCGTCGTCATTGGAATCATGTACACGCTCCTGCCCCAGAGGAAAGTCTGGATATCAAAGATGGCGTTATCTGCCCTCATCGCAGGCAACATAGCCAACTGCATGACGGGATGTTTTGCTAGTAAGTCGTGTTGACTTTCAGAGTTAATTGTTCTATGATATTTAGCTAGTTATGTTTAAAATCATAGCCATTCGTAAGAGGGTATCTTTTGTTAGTAAACCCTGTTGGTCACATAAATATTCTAAGCATAGTGTGCTCCCTTGATAAAACCATTGGCATAGCTACATCACCCCTGACACTCTATCAGCCTCTTCCCTTCCAGCTATAGAAAAATTACATTAACTGACTGTGCAGCCTCCAATGGTATTGATATAATAGTAAAAATGTAGGAAATCTCTTGTATATATAATACAAAGCAATATTGAGATAATATTTTATCTAGAAAAAGTATTATTATTTTATTATTTAAAATATTATTTAAAATATTATATTATTTAAAGCCCTAAACTAGATTTAGATTCAAATTTCTTATCTTTAGTATAGATTTCCATAAAAAACAAATAAATATGATTATTCAATAAATGTTTGCATCCTACTAAACCTATTGTGCTTGGGGGTAATTTATTAAACAATCAAATCTGAATTTAGACACCCCAAAGCCTAACAAGTTAAAACTACTTTAATCAGTAAGCGAAAGTAACCTCCAACTTATTTTATCTCCAGGTTTATTCTACTAGTCCAGTTGTCCAGTTCAGATGTACAAAAAAAAAAAAAAAAAAAAAAAAAAAAAAAAAAAAAAAAAACAACAATGGACCATAAAACATGGTTCTTAAAAAACAAGAACTGGAGCATACACTTTGAAGCGGGAAGTAACATGAGCTAAAAAGTTGTCGATGAAAAAGAAAAGAAAAACAGCCAATAAATTCAAAAGAATGTTACAACAGAAAACATGTTCATATTTTAAATTCACGAAATATTTAAATTTATTTAATAAAGACTGTATTTTAATATTTTATTAAAATATTCTTTTTTTCTCCCTAAAGCTAATTTATTACTAATTGCACTGTAAACTGTATATTATATTGTATTATTCTTTTTTTTTTTTTAGATCTATTTGTTCTTCATATGAAATAACTTTTCAAAACTCTTAATTTACCAGAGTATATAAATTTTTTTAAAGAATACAATATAAAATTGATATTTAGCTTATTTTTCCAAAATGCAGTTTTTTTCTTCTTTTTTTTCAAAAGAACTTATTAAATACTAATTGCACTGTAAAAATGTATATATTATATTATTTTACAACGACTTGTATGTTTTGCAATTTCATAATTACAATATTAAAAACATCATATTTGACTCATTTATGTGGAATATTTCTTTAAGAATGAATTTTAAAATAGACGTAATGTTTATTTTCTCGTAATAGATCAAATAGGTGAATGCAACACAAACCAAGAGTGTTAAAAATACGTTCACTAGGTTTTTCTTCATTGATTAACTACATATTGATTATTAATATTCATGAAATTATGTGTGTTCAAATGTTAGTAAAAGAGAGACAGAAGCATGGCTAACTGTAAACTGTTTAGGTGTGTTACTGTTTTGTTAGTTAATCGAACCTTCATGTTGCTGGCTTTGAGAGGAGAGATATTCGTGTATGCTATACAAATATCTCTCCTTATCCGTTTTAACATCTGAACATATTGTGTAAGCAGCTAAATTTATCTTCATTAGGAATCAAATTTCACTAGATCAGATATTGAACAGTTCATCTCTCAACTACCCCCCTCCCCCATTCCAACTCTAGTATTTCCATAATTTCCTCCTTGGTCAAATATTTCTATATATACGATGCATCAAACAATTTTTATAGCCAAACGTTAGCATAATTTTGGAAATGGAAGCGTAAAAATATCGGTAACATACACGTTAATTCTCACCTGATACTTGGGCTGGTAAAACCCAGTTAGAATGTTGTAAGGGGCATTAGCATAAAGAAATTCTATAACAAAAAATCGATCATATTGCTTCAGATCAAATATATATGCAAGCCCTCATCTACTAACTAAGCCCCATCCCTAGCTCCCCCACCCCCACATTAGACCCAGTGTTACTGTAAATACAGTATACATAACCATATTATAGAATGTTAATGTAGAATATAGGGATCATACAAGTTATTTCTCAACGAATACGTTGGCTAGTAAAAAGTTAGAATTGAAGGAGAATTTATTTAACAAAGTGTGAAAAACGTGAAAGCTGATTAAAAAAGATAAACAAACACAAAAGAGCATCGGGCCACTTCAATGAACATATCACGGTTTAATAATTTACGTCTATAGGAGATATAATTTGTGCTAGGTATTTTCGTACGCTGAGGGATGGGGTACATTTCGAAAGTTTGGAAAGGGAAGAAGTATAAACATTGGCATATAGCTAACAGTAGACCACAAGATTGCTAACCCGAAAGCCTCGAGTTTGGATTCCGCATTCTGCTTTGTAGGAAGTCTTTGAATCAAATTAGCTTTGATAAGTACCTAACCTATGTTAGGGAAAGTAAGGGGGATTAGGCACCGGCCTGACCACACTATCCCTTTATCCCTTAAGATCACATAAACAGATAAACTCTACTTCATCTGCACAGTTGATCGTATGGTCTGAAAAGGTTGCTAGTTATTGTGTCTGTAGTGTGTCTAACAAGGCTAGTAAGGGTTAGTATAAAAACGGCCAGAACTTACCCAAAAGCTGGTCAGCTGTTGCAAGAAATCAGACTGTGAAACACATGTTTGCTTCGTCAGCTCCATCACGTCCCTGCCAAAATCAAATTAGAGACAATATCGTTATGTACACTTACGCAAGTTGTATGAGGATAAATCATTAACATTTATACATGTTATAAAACAATAAGCTTATACACGTTTTTTATAAAATGGCACCATTAACATTTATACTTATACCAGTTGTAAGACGATACTCGTTAACATTTATAAGTAATTTTTCAATGCCCTGCAAAACTTTAAAACGCTAATTTTTCGGTTAAAAAATAATCTCTCCCCAAAACAAAACCTAAAGTAACTCAGCTTTTACAATTTTAAAAATTTGTAGCTGCTTTTATTAATTAGACATGACGCAGGATTTAGACAAATGAAGTAGAGTTTACCTTATATAGGTCTCATGTAAAAATTTAAAAATTGATAATGTCAAGAGAGATGACCGACTTTAGATAATTGAGATGTGACCGATTTAACTAGATAATTCATCCAGAGGTGAGCGACTAAATTAAATACATTTTCCGAGGGTTGAGTGAACTAATTACATAATACGTTGACATGGGATCGACTGTACGAGATTAGCATAATTGAAACCATACTGGACAGCGAACAGCCAAACGCGCCTTAACATATCATCTGAATGATTCCATTTTTAGTTGTTGAAGTGGGTTATGGCGAAATATTCAATCAGGGGTCATGTTTAGTTATAATGGGACGCCCCAACACAAATAATGACGTCATGGAACATCTTTTGCTGATGTCAGCCTGATAAGCAACTTCACTGCCATTTTAAAAGTTTTATTTTTAATTGTAAATTTAAAAAAATGAAATGGACAAACCCACGTCTACATCCGGTTATAAAGATATTTTTTTAGCGCAATTTCCATTCTGGAGAATTGCGTTTATTAACCCGTCATTTCTGGATGTATGAATGAATGGATGGATGGATGGATGTGTGTCCGCAGCTTTAAGTCGTATCTCCTCCTCGACGAAGCAATATCGATGAATAGTTCCAAAAGCAATTATGTTAAGCAAGTTTCGAGGATGAACATAGGCCATAAAAATTCAGGGTTTCTTTCATGGATTTCCCGGAAAAGCCAAAAAACCTCGAACAAATTCAGTTTTTGCTCCATATCTCGACAACCAGACCACTTAGCGACTTGAAACATTTACCAATCGATTCCTGCCATAATTTAAACCAATATTGCCGAAGAAAATTTTCAAAAATATCCTTTCGTTCGGTCACAAAAAATTAATTAAGAATTTTTAAACTAAGCGTCTTGTAGGTTTTTAGCGCAAAAGCTGAGGATCGAAAGGATTTTAATGAGCGGAGGTTCGAAAGGATTTTTAAAATTTTTCCCCTTTTTTTTCGACTGATACGGGAGGCTACTCTCCCCTTTTTTTCCGACTGATACGGGACTAGTTTCCATTTTGTTTTGAATTATTAAAACTACTTGTGTTGCATTATTTATTTGCTGAATATATGATTTATTTCGATTTAATTTACTTATTAATTCAAACGTTATTTTTGTACCCTATTAATAAGCTGAGGTTCGAAAGGATTTTACCATAGCGAATGAGCGGAGGTTCGAAAGGATTTTTTTTTAAATCTCGTTAATAAATATTTTTTTCTATTTTGTTTTGAATTATTAAAACTACTTGTGTTGCATTATTTATTTGCTCAATATATGATTTATCTCGATTTAATTTACTTATTAAATCAAACGTTATTTTTGTACCCTATTAATAAGCTGAGGTTCGATATAAGGAAATTGCGCTAAAATTGTCACTAGACTTTTTAATTAACTTGTTTTTAAGTGAAAGCATTCGAGCGTTCATTCTGGGCTGTGGCATTACACTACTTTCAGTATGGGTGGGGTTATTTGATGAATTAGTAACTAGATCACCTACGGTACTTATAGCCATTTGATCTGATGGATTCAGCCAACCGTGAACTAATATATATTACTGTTAAAAGAAAAATTGGACATTTCTTGTTTTAGTTTTTAAAATTACGGCGTGCTATGTCAGACAGGGCATAAAATTTCATTGGGATTTTAAAAGTCTCTTGCGTCTACACGTAAGTCAGACTTAAGCTTTATGAGAGGAGGTTTAGGTGTGTGTATGTTTCATCCTTAACACTTGAGGTAGTGAGGCTTATACGACTAAACGTCTGATGTTGATATGGTTGTGATTTCTGGACGTTCAATAACGACATCGGGGGAATGATAAGAATTTCAATGTGTATATATCCGAATTTATGCTACTGACTGTTATCTAAAACATATTGTAAGCTTGTACTGACCATAATGTACGACTTGGATTTTTATACACGACTCAAGATGGAGCTAGGCAGCAAGGCACATGTTAGACCAACAAAAACAGACTGGAAGACTGACTGACTGATTCTGCCACACCCTTCGTCAAATCAACTTTAGGGTTTTCAAAGTAGGATCATTTTCTTCTCATTCTCCTTCAATTTTCACTAAATCTTGGCGTTTGGCCAAGAGTACACTCTGCCAAAGACAACTCGATTTGTGGGTGTCTTTCAATCTCGGCTATTTCAATCCAGCATCTTCCATTTTACTCTCGATGGATTTCTTCAAACTATTATAGACAACTGACCGTAAAACGTTTTTTAAAAAAAAAACCGCAATGAAATTTTGACCAATCGTTTTCCCGGTAATTTGTATTTCAGGGACCAACAGTTGAAGATGAGCAACAACCCGACCACCCAGTACTCACAAAACCTCACCCTCGGGCAGGGGGATAAGAAAGAGATGAATGGTGCGACAGAGGAGAAGTTCGTTCCCTTTGCTATCAACTACCCAATGAGCAATGCACAGGATGAGGACGAGAAGGCGCAGGAGATGAAGGTCTGAACATATACACAAAGGACTCGGGTGGGGGGGGGGAAGGTAAGAGGGGCAGAAAGAGAAGTAAAGAGAGGGACAGCGAGAGAAGGTTGAG